CCGGCTCCTAAGAAGGGCGGTGCTGCCCCTCCTCCTCCGCAGGCAAGGGACATTGATATTGAAGCGAGGGACCCCCAAGGGCGTCCTCCAGCGCGAGGAGGCAACCGAGCTGGCAACGGAGCGGCCAACGGGGCAGCTAACGGAGCGGCCAATGTCGGGGCAGCCAATGTCGGGGCCAATGGAGGAGCCAACGGAGCGGCCAACGGAGGAGCCAATGGAGGAGCCAATGGAGGAGCCAACGGGGCCGGCCGTCCTCCTCCACCGCCGCCTAACCGTCGTGATGAAATCGAGGTGCTTGAGTGAGAGTAAGGCACGACGTGGTTGGGGCCTCACTGACGCTTACTGCTCGGGTTGAATACATGTACTACCTAGTCTACCATTTACTTCTTCTCCCGGCGGATGATTTCGGCTGGGGGGGGGGGACATGGAAAGTGGGATCTGGGAAGTGGGAAATCAGTGGCACAACGAGCTACACAGCAAGTGACGGTAGTCAAATCGAACCTCAGGTTTCTCAACATTCTTTTTGCAATGCCATGTCAGGCATCCGGTCATATTCTATGCAACCTGTGTGTGCCGTGTATTTTTGCCATAGAGAGGTACCATAGTACCGACAGTATTAAGCTGTTGAGCTGTGGTATGGGCGTACTGTAGGTAAAGGGACACAAGGGACAGACAGCTACAGGTCCAAGGGTCCAGGGGTCCGGCAAGGCCAAGGTCAGGCCACCTGTGGGGACCCCAGGCTTTGGATCCTCCCGAGCCGGGACTTTGCGGAGGTGCCTGGTCCACACATTAAGGGCACTGCGGACCGCCAGCCGTCGCCCATAGCTGCAGGAGCTTGGACCTTGCCTAACATCGGCGCCGACACGCAGCCACGCAAAGCCAGAGCAAATTCGACATCCCGGCGAAGACTCACTCCAGACGACACCTTTTTGTTTTCCATCCTATATCCTGTGTCTCGTTCCATCTCGCTTCTTTCCCTTCGTCTATTTCTGTTGCTGTTGCTGTCCCCCCGGCCCCCACAACAATGATGCTGTCCACACCCCTCCGACTCGCCGCCCGGCGAGCAGCTGCTCCTCGCTACGTCGCCTCTCTGCGCGCAGCTTCGACCTGGGCCAACGTGCCCCAGGGTCCTCCAGTACGTGCTCGACTGCTCGACACACCTCTCCCCAATAGCCTGCCCATGCTGACTCTTTGCAGGATGTAAGTCAATGACCACAGCTATCTCTGCTTGGCTTGCAATTGCTGATTGTGCATCGCCGTGCGTCATCAGGCCATCCTGGGTGCGTTTTCCAACACCGTCTCTTCTACTGTGTACTTTTCCTCCCGTCCAACAACAACACGCATGCTGACTTTGCGCCCTGATAGGTATCACCGAGGCATTCAAGGCCGACTCCTTTGAAAAGAAGATCAACCTCGGTAACGATGCCCGCGTCCCATGAGCAGCAACCGCAGTAGTAGTAGCAGCAGCACCAACACTGACCCGCGAACGCCCACAGGTGTCGGGGCCTACCGAGATGACAAGGGCAAGCCTTACGTCCTGCCCTCGGTGCGCAAGGCCGAGGACAAGGTCATCCAGTCGCGTCTGAACAAGGAGTACGCCGGCATCACCGGTGTGCCCGAGTTCACCGCGTCTGCCGCCAAGCTGGCCTACGGCAAGGACAGCTCCGCCCTCGACCGCATCGCCATCACCCAGTCCATCTCCGGCACCGGCGCCCTGCGCATCGGCGGCGAGTTCCTGGCCCGCTTCTTCCCCGGCGACAAGACAATCTACATCCCCACCCCCTCGTGGGCCAACCACGCCGCCGTCTTCAAGGACTCGGGCCTGACCGTCCAGAAGTACCGCTACTACAACAAGGACACCATCGGCCTGGACTTCGACGGCCTGCTTGCAGACATCAATGCCGCCCCCAAGGGCAGCATCTTCCTGCTGCACGCCTGCGCACACAACCCCACCGGCGTCGATCCCACCCCCGACCAGTGGAAGGCCATCGAGGCTGCCGTCAGCCAGCGCGAGCACTTCGTCTTCTTCGACATGGCCTACCAGGGCTTCGCCAGCGGTGACACCAACAAGGACGCCTTTGCCCTGCGCTACTTTGTCGAGAAGGGCCACAACCCCTGCCTGGCCCAGTCCTTCGCCAAGAACATGGGCCTGTACGGCGAGCGCGCCGGCGCCTTCTCCGTCGTCTGCGAGTCCGCCGAGGAGAAGAAGCGCGTCGACTCCCAGATCAAGATCATCGTGCGGCCCCTATACTCCAACCCGCCCATCCACGGTGCCCGCATCGCCGCCGAGATCCTCAACAACCCTGAGCTGTACGACCAGTGGCTGGTCGAGGTCAAGGGCATGGCCGACCGCATCATCACCATGCGCGCCCTGCTCAAGGAGAAGCTGGAGCAGCTCGGCTCCAAGCACGACTGGTCGCACATCACCAGCCAGATCGGCATGTTTGCCTACACCGGCCTGACGCCGGAGCAGATGTAAGATTCGCAGCGAACCTAGAGCCATCAGTCCTGAAGAAAGAAAACTAACACGCAAAACACAGGGATCAATTGGCGAAGAAGCATTCTGTGTATGCTACAAAGGATGGCCGTATCTCCGTCGCTGGCATTACTAGCGAGAACGTGGGCAGGCTGGCTGAGGCCATCTACGCCATCAAGGGTTAGGTTGGATCAGCATCTGGCACGCCTGAGAAGTCGCGGCAAAACGTATGTTATGCATTGATGTCTGGATAAGATTTGAAGAAGAGGATCACGTGTTCATCTGCTGTGCACCAAGTGCTATGTGAGGAAACCTCGTGGTTGGGCCGGAAAATGGGCAATAGATGATAGATCTGGCCTGGGCCTACATAGACAGCATACCCGGAATGTTTCTCATCTAGGTGCAGCAGCCTCAACTCACTTGTGATGTATTGTCCATTGTTGCATGCTCGCAGTCGGCATAGTCGACATTGGGTATACGGTAATCGGCGGGCAGCATACGGTACGACGCCGTCTGGCAGTGAGGCAGTCTGGTTGCAAGTGGCGGAAGCGATACTCGTCCCCAGCTGGACGCTTGCACGCGCTCAAGGAACGTAGCCGCGGCTGGAAAAGACGAGACGAAGCAGAGAATTTGCTCACAGCTGTGGCACCCTAGTTCCCAAGTTCTGGTCGGACTCCAAAAGCCGACCACCTCTCAGTCTCGGGAACAGCCCATGAAGAAACACGCAGGCTGATCCGACTGGCGACAAGCTTGAGCAGTCAAAAAAGGGACAGCATGCTTCCCATGAACAATCAGCCAAGTGCCTGGTTCCATTCATGGATTCCCTCAACAACACATTCAGGGCATACAACATGTGAATGTACGCCGGGATAGAGACAACACAGCTGATCAGAAGCGAAATCAAATTCGACGAGAATCAAGCAAGCAAAACAGCCCAGGCAAGAAATGCAACGGAGATACGACTCATCCCAGTCATTCCCAGTCAGCCCGTACGATGCATTTTTCTGCATCTTTCTACCGGCAGGTTATTCTAGTCTTCGAAGAGCACTTGAGCACACATACTTGGCTCTCTTGACATTATCGAGTCTCACCACGGCTCGTCTACGATGATGTGCTACATCCCCGTCGCCGACGGTAAGACACTTCACTCGCTCAGACCTCCTCCACCATTTGCCATCGTGTCAGCTTCATGAGTTGCCCCGCCACTCGACACGCTGGGTGAGTCAAAGAAGCTCATGAATAGCACTCATCACTCGAGTTGGCGCGGTGTCCTCTCTCTTCAGCCCCAAGGAGAGACTTCTTTGCGTTGACATCTACCCAGCTTGCCTGTTATTTCAAGCTTTGCTGGAGGACCAACCTGCTTCTCCAGGGCACATATTTCAATTTCGTGACCCCTCCCTGCGATCGTAAAACGAGCTTCAACGAACGTTCGGGACGCCCAAATCCCACTTGTGATATACATTCGACAACTGGCTGAACGCTCAACGTGCACGCGGCTGTCCAAAGGATTGTTGAGGGCGAACAAAGGCCGCCAGCCATTTGTTCTACTTTCGAGTTCTCTCAATTTGGTTGATTTCTGCCGTGTGCAATTTCCAGTACATAGCAGGCCACGTTGTTTACTGTTCTCAAAATCCACGGGCCGGCTTGATCAGTCCGACTCCATCCTCCCAACATATTTGTCACTCAGCCATTGTACATCTTTGGCTGTGATTCACCAGTCCTTCGTCGTCACTCAGGAACAGTGATATGATTTTTTACACTCTTCCGGCCCCCCTCCCCTTTATATTGCTCCATTGTCCTCCCGCCAGCAATCTCTATGTTTTGCTTTCTTTTGTAGACATCTCTGTCTTGTACACGTCGCTTTTATGCTGTCAAGTTTTGCGGCCCCCCTCCCCCCTTTCTCAAACCAAGTTTCCTGGACTGCTTACCAACTTCGGCAAAGCCTTTGCTCACTGACCCATCATACTCGTTAATTCTTTACGCATCCGCCTTTCAAAACGACGGATAGTCTACCATCACCAATCGTAGCCGTCTACTCAAGATACAAATTCTCGCACCGCCCTTTAGGACGGGTTGTACTTCTCCTAAATGCGCTTCTTCAGAAGATCAGAACCCGAATATCCTCCCGAACAGGCCGCACAATCATGGCCAGCTGTGCCCCCTTCGCTCCACCATGAGTCCTTCGAGGTGGGTGAGGACAAGCATACTACTCTCCAGCCACCACCTCAGCCTTACTACAGCCCCGGCGCAGTTACCCCTTGGCTCGGCCTCCGATCCCGTCTTTCCCAGGTGCCTATGAATCGATGGACAGTCCTACTTCTTCTCGTCCTAGCCCGGCTCTTGATATCTCTCGCCGACCTCAACACGAACCTAGTCACCGCCAAGACGCAGGCTGTATCTGCTTGCACCGAGGTCGAGGACGTCGGGAGTTCCATGGCCTCTATGCCTCACTATCTCTCTGCCGGCGTCAACCGAATGGCAGCTGATGGAATCACCAAGGCGGTCCAGGGCATGGTTGAGATCCTCTTGATGGTTCTCACCGGAGTTCAGCAGCTCATTCTGTTTTTTATTGAGTTCGAGATCGGTACCTTTCTGTGTCTCTCTACCGCCATCGCCCAGGCTGTCATCGAAGTTGGTGAATTCGCCATCAATAGCACTACGAAAGCCTTGAATGCTGCCATCAAGAAAATTGCCGATGATCTGACTTCCGCCGCGGGCAAGGTTACTGGCGGTCTGGACGATATCAGAAATGCTGTGCATAACGATCCCGTTTTGGAATGGATTGATAAGATGGTCCCCGACACCAGGGGCCTTGAAAATGATCTGAAAAAGCTGGGCGATGTACAAATTGATACCAGCTCGGTCCTTGGCGGCATGACAGATCTCGAACATAAGATCGCCTATGACAACGTCAAGAATGTAGCAAAAGAAGCGATCGCGATACCTTTCGACATGGTCAAGAGACTACTGAACGAGAGCTACGGCACCTGGGAGTTCGACCAATCCGTGTTTCCCATCCCCGCGAAGGAGTCGCTGTCTTTTTGTTCCGACAACAGCACACTTGAGAGGTTTTTTGAAGTTCTGTTCAAGATCGCCGCCAACGCGAAAATCATCGCTGTCGCGGTGCTCATTATCCTGGCTGTTCTCGCGTGTGCCGTCATGGCTTGGTGGGAAATTAAACGTTTCAACAGGCAGCTGCAGAAGTCACAGGCACTCATCGACCGTGAGCCCCTGGACATCGTCTACATTGGTGGCCGGCCTCTTACTGCTGGCACGGGAGTATGGCTCTCGGAGAGACTCTCGAGAGATCCCAAGCGCCAGTCCCTGATCCGATGGGTGATTGCCTATGCGACAACATACAAGGCACTCTTTGTCCTAGCACTAGCCGTGGCTGGAGGCTTCTCTTGCCTCTGCCAATGGATCATCATGAGGGCCGTCCAACAGGACGTCCCGGCTCTCACCACCACGGTCGGGGACTTTGCCGGCGATGTTGTGACCTCCTTAGAGCAGGCGTCCACCAAGTGGGCTAATGACTCCAACAGTGTCATCCTAGGCTTCCAGGACGACATCAACAATGACATGTTCGGTTATGTGCGACATGCAACCGACGCGGCAAATGACACCATCAACACTTTCAACCATTATATGCAGGAAGGGCTCAACAATGCGTTCGGAGGTGTCGACCAGTTGGAGAAGTTTATGAAGGGCATCATCCAATGTCTCATCGGCAACAAGCTCGACTCGATCCAGCAGGGCCTGACGTGGGTGCACGAGAAGGCCCGCGTCACGCTCCCGCTCTTTCCTGCTGATCTTTTCTGTGTCGGCGTCAACGAATCGATCAGCGGCAACCCGAACACCACGACTTTCTTGTCCACGCCGGCCTCAACCGTCACTGACGAGATCACGGGCGCAGTGAATAGCGTGGTGGATGTACTTTGGAGCAGCATCATCCAGGAGATAGTGATCTCGCTGGTCCTCTTCCTGATCTATGTGGCCTACGTCTTCTTCGCCGGGGCTGAGGCGGCGATTCGGATGGCAATGAGCGACCGGTAAGTAGCACTTCCCAAAAAGAAACAAGATTCTCGGTTTTTGGAACGTAGACGCTAACGATATACTTGGATAGGGTCCATGAGGACCAGAGAAGACAACAGTCTTACGCCAGTGGCCCTCGTGAGTCGAAGTCACCAACGCCGCGAGTTCCTGAAATCGACGGGGATAGTGCAGTGCTGGAGAATCCGATCAGATTGCCGGCAAGGGGTATACATGAGGATCCATTCGCGGACCAAGACATCATGACCGGTGAGCATGCGGGCCTCGCGCTCAGGGACTCGAGGGATAGGATGGGTAGTCCAACGCCCCAGCGTGATCATGAGAGGCAGAGCGAGTATAATGCCGACGCGTCCGACTACCATATCTAAGGTCTTGTTAGGCAAGCAGGTGGCAGGTGCAGTGCTCTGGCCTCTACCCTCCTCCCCCTTGTTTTTCCTTTTTTTTTTTTTTTTTTCCTCCTTCGATATTTTTTATTTTTTATATTTTTTGCATAGCAGCGGGCGCATTTGGAAAAGCCCAAGAATCGTTGAGGAGGACAAGTCACGACGGTCAGCGGGGCGTTTATCCTGGAGGGCTCATGTATTGGTATCACGTTTGGGGTGGATGTGGATCACAAATAATCTGCCCCCTGGGGCAGCAGGTCGACAGACTGAATACGTGGATATTGAGTACATGGGCCTGATTTAGTGCAGTGAATATGTTCCTCAGGAGCTGGGAGGAGTTGGTTGTATGCCGAAGGGCAATTAGGTAGACGAAGTTGAGACAAGTAGATAATTGAACAATTGATCACCTAACCACTTGATCAAGTAGCCAAGTCAACGCTACCGCCTTGAGGTTGGACTCGCCTCTGTGGTCCGTCCAAACTTCTGACCGTGTTGGTGATTTTATACTATGAGTCTTAAAGTGGTTACTGTTGAGTGGACTGATGTGTGTCTTTAAGGGCCCAGGGCACAAACATATATTGGTAGACTATCGAGGTACGCACGCAGGTACACAGAAGGGTACATGGGTACCTCGGCAGCACAGCCGGCATGACTGCAGCCGCGGGCAGGATGGAGGGGCACGGCGTGCAGGGTGCAGGGGAGCAGCATCCCGGTGCCGCATCGGAGTTCGAACAATAAGTCTACGGTAACTATACACTACACAGTCCGAGATTGATTTTGGTGACTCAATCATCTTGTATCTGTCCCTCGTTCTCTCTCCCCCCCCCCACCACGCCTTCCAGCCTTCTCCCTCCATTTCCTCCCACCCTCGTCCTCCTCCTCCTCACACCCATTGAACCCGATCACTTTGTCCAGGCGTCAATTGGTTCAGAAAACAAACCATGGAGGCAATCAAGCAGACCTTTCAACGGTGCAAGGCCGAGAACCGGGTAAGTCCACCTCGACCTCAACCTCGACATCGACCGTGATACGGGCGTGAGATTGTCTTGTCGACCGCAGCACAAGCCCACTGACAGTGCTCGCAACCTCGAACAGAGTGCCTTGGTCACTTATGTGACCGCCGGCTACCCCAAGCCCGAGGATACTCCCGATATCTGCCTGGCTATGGAGAAGGGAGGCGCAGGTAGGCCACATCAATTTGCCCATATCAACCCACCTCGCCGCTCGCTACGCTTAGACACTGATCCAGACTTTCGTCTCAAGATATCATCGAGCTCGGTATACCCTTCACAGATCCCATAGCAGACGGTCCGACTATCCAGACCTCGAACACCGTCAGTAGACCGATTCCCCCAAATGAGCCGGTGCCATCCCGCTGTCCTCCACCTAGCGCCTCGCTGACCGTACCCAGGTCGCTCTTCAAAATGGTGTCACACTATCTAGCACACTCCAGATGGTCCGCGATGCTCGGAAAAGAGGGCTGAAGACGCCTGTCCTGCTCATGGGCTACTACAACCCTCTGCGCGCTTACGGCGAGGAGAGGTTGCTGAACGACTGCAAGGACGCTGGCATCAATGGCTTCATCATCTGCGATCTGCCGCCCGAGGAGGCCGTCTCCTTCCGCCAGCTCTGCTCCAAGGGAAGGTGAGTCATGCGAGCGTACACGTCCAAGATCCTGCCGCCTGCTTATGACCTCGGTCACTGACACTGGTCCGCAGCCTTTCCTACATCCCTCTGATCGCCCCTGCCACCTCAGACAAGCGCATGCGTCTGCTTTGCCAGCTCGCCGATTCCTTCATCTACGTTGTCTCTCGCCAGGGTGTCACTGGTGCGCTTGGTACGATGAACGCGGGCCTTCCCAGTCTCCTGGAGCGTGTCAAGAAGTACTCTGGTAATAAGCCCGCTGCCGTCGGTTTCGGCATTTCCACGCGCGACCACTTCACCAGCGTCGCCCAGGTTGCCGATGGCGTTGTTGTGGGCAGCATGATTGTCACCACGCTGCAGAAAGCTCCCGAGGACCAACGCTACAAGGCCGTCCAGGAGTACTGCTCGTACTTGTGTGGGCGGACCCCCGAGGAGGGCCTGACGAGGGAGGTAGGCGTCGTCGAGGCCATCTCTCAGGCCAAGGAACCCGACGCACAGCCCACCGTGAGTGCTGTCATCTCAGACGAACATGTCAACGGCGACGATGCCGGGCTGGTAGCTCAGCTGGCCGCACTGCATGGCAAGATACCCGAGCGTTTCGGCGAGTTTGGCGGGCAGTACGTGCCTGAGTCTCTGATGGATTGCCTCTCGGAGCTCGAGGACGGGTTCAACAAGATCAAGGATGACCCGCTCTTCTGGGAGGAGTTTCGTTCATACTACCCTTACATGGGCCGGCCAGGCCAACTGCATCTTGCTGACCGACTGACCAAGCACGCCGGCGGTGCCAACATCTGGCTCAAGAGGGAGGACCTCAACCACACCGGCAGCCACAAGATCAACAATGCTGTTGGCCAGATCCTACTCGCGCGGAGGCTAGGCAAAACCAAGATCATTGCTGAGACTGGAGCGGGCCAGCACGGTGTCGCAACTGCTACCGTGTGTGCTAAATTCGGCATGGAGTGCACAGTGTACATGGGCGCCGTAAGTCTTCTACTCCGGTCCCACGCCAGGTATTCTTCGTACTGACCACAGCCACAGGAGGACGTGAGACGACAGGCGCTGAACGTCTTCCGCATGAAACTTCTTGGCGCTAAAGTGGTTGCTGTCGAGGCAGGCAGCAAGACACTCCGAGACGCCGTCAACGAGGCGATGCGGGCCTGGGTCGTCCAGCTCGAGGACACACACTACATCATCGGCTCAGCGATCGGCCCACACCCCTTCCCAACGATAGTGCGGACCTTCCAGTCCGTTATCGGCAACGAGACAAAGCAGCAGATGTTGGAGAAGCGAGGCAAGCTGCCAGACGCCGTCGTGGCGTGTGTGGGTGGTGGCAGCAATGCCACCGGCATGTTCTTCCCCTTCTCCAACGACCCCTCCGTCAAGCTACTTGGAGTCGAGGCTGGCGGTGACGGTATCGACACCCTGCGTCACTCGGCGACGCTGGCAGCGGGTACCAAGGGTGTGCTACACGGAGTCAAAACGTACGTGCTACAGAACGAGCACGGGCAGATCCAGGACACGCACTCGGTGTCTGCTGGCCTCGACTATCCGGCCGTCGGGCCCGAGCTGGCTTCCTGGAAGGACAGCGAGCGTGCCAAGTTCATTGCCGCCACGGACGAGCAGGCATTCATCGGGTTCAAGCTCATCAGTCAGCTGGAGGGTATTATTCCCGCACTGGAGTCGGCGCATGGTGTCTACGGTGCCATCGAGCTGGCGAAGACCATGAAGCCTGACCAGGATGTGGTCATATGCCTGAGTGGCCGCGGCGACAAGGACGTGCAGAGTGTGGCCGATGAGCTTCCCGTAATAGGCCCTAAGATCGGTTGGGATTTGCGGTTCTAGAGGCACATCTTGTGGACCCGCCACCTCGGAATCATTGACTTGGCTTATCGCAGGACGTGAAAAGAATAGAGGCGAGTGGCTGGGTCCGGGCTTTGGTGCCCGATATGTAGATAGATATTACCTAGGCCGCAAAGGCTCCGGGATGATAGGAGAAATGCACACAGCATGTATCAGATGGGACTCTGCGTGGTCTTGCTGACTTTGTACTTTTACATTTGTATGTACGAACTTGGCATCATCGCGCCTGCTCCTTCATGAAGCCTTCGTCCTTGCCAATGACAAAGTCCTGGTCTCCCTCTATCATCCGCTGGGTCTCGGCCATTAGCTGTTGTTGGCTCTGATGCGTGGGCGCACCAGGGGGCACTATGCCCACGGCGGTCGCCTCGCGCAGGGCCTCCTCTTGAAGCACACCATCCGTCTTGGGCCCCAGCCCCAGCGCCGCCCTCTCGGCGGCGAACTTCCGCTTGACGGTCTCGCTCTGCATGATCCTCCACCTCAGCTTCCACCCCCAGGGCCCCAGGTCCTTGATGCGCTGGCTCTTGTCGCCTAGGAGATAGTTGTCCAGGCCGCCGACCTTGTCGATGGTGCGCAGAACGCGCGTGGTCACCCTAGTCTGGACAAAGCAGCGCAGCGAGTCGCTCCACAGGCGCCGGCGCTGGAGGTTGGGGCGCCACTTGCGGGGGGTCTTGACGTCGTGCTTCTCTGAGACGTTGTTGCCGAACTGGATGCGGGAAGAGCCGTACAGGCCGCCGTTGGATTGCTTGTAGACCTGCCGCGGCCCGTATGGATAGGACGGGATCTCGGGGGACTTGGAACTGGGCTTGGGGATGGGCATGGACAGGCCGTGGGTGTCGCGCGGCACGCCCTGGTAAGGGTAGCCGGTGGCCAGCAGGGCAGGTGAGGTGCCAAAGGCCCTCGTGGCTCGTTGGCATGTGGATTGCACACGGCTGGACATCGACATCGTCGCGGTCGGTCGGGGCAGGCCAGCCCGCAGGGGCAGCAGAGTCGAGGACATGACTGGAACGATGTTGTTACACTCGTCGTGCCATGGGCATGTAATGTGGCCCTCGGTTCCCCGTGTGTCGTGGTCGCGGTCGCGGTGTGGTCGTGATCGTGGTCGTGATTAGACCGCTGGGCACTTGGTGGCTTGGAGGCTTGGAGGCTTGCCGGGAATTGTGAGGTTATTAGGAAGTTCTTTTCTCTCCTTCTCCCGTCTACATCACACCCGGCTGGTTGGATCAGGTACCCGATCTGCCAAAATTTCGGGACTGGTGTAGGCACTTGATTAGGTAAGCCAGCGGCGCGCCCAGGGTAGACACAATGCTGGGACTGGGGGGACCTGCGTGTAAGTACAAAGGGGACAGGCCAAGGTTGTGTGCCTCAAGAAGTACCTCAAGACAATGGTCGGTACGCGTGAAGCTTCATCAACAAACAATACACCGTCACCAATAATTGCATGCTCTTGACCTACGGCACTTTGGGGAAATGCTACCGCCAGTAGAAGACGCCGTGCTGCAGAACAACCCCGAGTTCGCTGCCCTCTACAGCACTCTCTGCACCGTGGTCCTGAACCCTGACGGCACGACTAAGGACGACAAGAGTCAGGTTGCCATCGAGAGGGATGCCGTTCGCCAGGTGCAATCAACCAAGCCCAACTGTCGTGTGTGTGTTGAGGCTGACTGTCCATGTTGCTCAGGAACTTGATGCTCAGCGCCTTGAATCCGCAAAGCACCATCTGTTAGCCCAGGCCGTCTCCGCCGCGGTGCCTCCTGAGCCCGCCAGGCCATCTGCAAGAACCGCCAACAAGGCGGCGCCGCAGTCACCAGAACTACCAGAGCCTCTTTTGGATCTGCTGTTGCTCCTCCCACCGCTTCTTACAAGTCCAGAGGAGCTCCCAGCCGAGACCCTTCAACTGTTACTGTCAAACCCTCCCTTTTCGTCCCTGGAGGAGCTCATCCCCGACCTTGCAAGCCTCGTCTCCTCCAACCTCCAGTCCTCGGCTGTCCAGATCTCCCGGGCAGCTTTTCCTGCCACAAATCCATCCTTCGTTCATCGCCATGTCCCCTCTCTTGCGCGCCGCATGGCCGAGCTGTCGTCAGATCTCGAGCAACGGTCCGACTCCTTGGCCGGGGCTCGCCAGTCCGCAGCTAATGCCCTAGCTCAGCTGCTTCAGAAGCACACCGAGGCACTGACTCTGCTCATCCGCTCGCTCGAGGCAAAACACGGCGGCATAGCTCGGTCTCTCGAGCACCGTGCCGCCGATGTCTCTCTTGAGGCTCAGCTCGGCCAAGTCAACGCTGAGACAGCCTTGTGGAATGTTAGAAAGGACGTCTATAGCTCCGAAGTTCGCGAGGCTTTGAGAAACTACTCTCTTCACTTGCGCGATGGGCAGTTGAGGCTTCGGGAAGCGATGAGGACGGCCCAAGTTGAGCTTGAAGACTATGGCGTTGCTGTAGATGGCCGCACCGGTGATCCACGGAAGGAGCGCGCACTGCGGGAGGCCGCGAGGGCTTACAGAGAAACCCGGAGGCAGATAGAGGATGCCCACAGTGATCTGAGCCGCCTGCGTTGAACTTTGACACCAAAGGTATACCAACGAAGTAATCGAAATCACCGAAGCTTTGGTATTGCTCTACCTACTCTGGGGTGTGTGAAGCCCGAGCACAGGACGATATGGACTCCTCACCGAGTCCAAGTCGCCGGTCTAGGTCGAAGCCTAGCATCCAAAATTGAGTGCCGCCACCCCATGTTATGTAGCGACACGCCTGCTTTCTGAGTCCTGTGGGCTCTACTTTCCCAGGCCGCAAGCCATCCCGACGCAGCAAGTGACACTACCCGACTGGCATTCGCCATAGCTATTTGCACCATGGTCATTGGGGAAGGTATATGCCTCGCCCTGGCATGGCTGGAAAAATGTAGCAGCCGTGTTAGTGACGTTGTCGCCGCGCTCGGGATTGATGCAGGCATTCTGGTCGTCCATTTTCTTCAGAGTTGAATAACTGGTCAGCATTCATTGCTCGGAACAGTCGTGGTAGGGCTTGTTGAACGCGCTTAGGGGTTTAAACTTACAGGGCAGTCTCCCAAGGCAAAGAGATCCTTTATGCACTGCAATCATTCATGTTAGCCGTTTTCCATTCCGGCATCATATATGCAAAGAACTTCGGTCATGTGCAGCTAAACGAGGGGCGGGGGCTTCCTGTTCGCGAGGCTCGCTCGAGGACCTCATAACAGGTCCTGACTGCCTCTGGGCCTTGTGGAAACGTGGATGAGCTGTGGGATTGCTTACGCCGGTGACCACCTTCCCATCGCACGAGCAGATGATGGGCAGCGTAAAACCGTTCCTGTTGTGATTGTCAGCAAGGAGCGCTCGCGTAGTTGCGATGAAGAAGTTGCCACTCACACATAGCTGATATCAACGTCCACTACGGCAACCTGGGAGGTCCAGGTCTGCACATAATTCGCCTCGATTAGAGACACGTCGCCGGTGAGCGAGTACGCCGCGTCGATGACTGCCACATTCCCGGTCCAGTTCCAGGGAACAGCAAAAGCGGATGAAGCATTCGGGGCCATAGTTCCCTCCCCAACAAATCCCGACACCGCAGTGGGTGCACCGGCGCCGCATTGGTGCGAAGTGCTGATGTTCGCGGTGTGCTTGTTTATGACGGTGAAGGTCGCAAGATCGGGACCGCGTGAGATGTCTTCGGGGTTGTAGTCCATTCCACCAGTCTTCTGAGGTGGGAGGGTAGGATCCGCGATGATGCCTTCAACGCCAGAGTTGACGACGCCGCTGGTGGTACTTGGGAAGCCGCCACCGAGAACGGCAGGAACAGCGAAAGCGGTGTTGGCCATTGAGGCCACGAGGGTCAGGAAACAAAGCATAAACATGTCCATGATGAACTGTGTGATATTGATAGTAAGAGTGGGCGATGGTTTCTTTTTGATATGTTTGTTTAAAGAAAATGGGTTGGCAGTGAGGACAACTGGCTGGGCAGTGAAGGTTGGAAAGGCGGCTGTAAGGAAGAGAGACAGCTCTTCTTGTTGAAGTATTTGTATTCCAGGAATATAACGATAGTTCAACAGCTGTCGTGAATCACTCGATATACTGATTCGGGGGGCTTATGTCTGGCCTCACGCGAGCGTGATCGGGTGTAGGTCATGATCGTGGCTCGCCTTTGCATAGAAGCAATTCGTCATTCAAGACAAAATCAACTCCAAGACATATCCCAACTTTTCATGGTGGCATTTTCTACGGTTTAGAGTTCTCAGGGGCTCGGTTGGATTCCATGTACGAGACCTGTCGCTTGCGGAATTCTTGCGGAAACGATATCAATCGAGGAAGGAAGCTTTGTGAGACTGCTGAGCTTTTCCTTTGGACCAACTTCCGAAAGTCTAGCAAGAAGCTTAGAATTTGCTACAGTCTATCATTTACAGACTGGTTCCTTGTTGCCGAGTACGTTGGCCTTGTCGTGTCTTCGAGTGTCCAGTTTCGTCCCTGCCCTTGATCAAGCCACTACTTCGCTGTGTGAGCCCTCAGCGAGCCGCGAAGCATAACCCTCAAGGCTGAACATCCTTTCATTCTGGTCGTGTCGGCTTACACTAAGGCTGCAAGAGAGTTCCCGGGTGGTCGGAATCCAAATCTAGCTCCGAATTCAGCAGTTGAGAACATGTGGCATTGTTGTTCCGTGATCTCTACCACCGCCCTTGCCGCTTCCGATATCCAACGACGTATGACTTTCAACCATGTTCCCAATTCAGTAGCACTTCTCCTAACAAGTCTGCCTGAAGAGCTGGTGACTAAACGGGGCGTCGAGTTTACCGCCCAAGTCCAAGAAGCCCAAGTCATAAGCTTTCCTCGTATTGATTTATTGCTTTCTGCAAGCGGCTTTCCCAGTGACTAATCCTGCGTTCCTGAACACAACTGCACAGATAGCATTCCAGGGAACAAGTCCTCAAAGCATGACTTTTTCTTGCGGCTTTTTTCCGCATTCTCTAGTGATCTATTTTCAATAGTTTAATACGAGCCTAAGCTCGGGTGTCCTCTTTGCGGTCACAGTATCTAGTTTTATATATAAATAAAGCGAGATAAGGCGTCATGAACAAATACAGCAATCTCTAAATACAGGCGAATCTTTTACAGGATTATTCCCTGTTAGGAGATCGCATCCCATAAGATGATAATTCTTTCAGGATAGCTGTCACGAGAGGGACATGGAAGAGGCGATGCTCTCAGGTCTGGCTCATAACTGTCGAATTCTGAATAAGACCTTGTCTTGTTTATTGCCACCAGGCTTTAAGAGCAAAGGGCCTTTGGGCTGTAGGTGGTCTGTGCGCAGCCACCTCCAGTCACACAAACTTGCGCCCACCACGCCGTCACAATAACCTCTTCGAGGACAAGCCTCTACAGGATGAACTCCTGTGGGATAAACTGCCTTGGGATATCCTCCCGTGATATAATTATCTATAGGATGATCATGTATGGAGAAGTAAAGAAGCTATACGGGACTCGGCATTGATGTTTTCGCAATGGCGGTGTTGTTGCAATATTGTTGTATGTGAAGGCACTGCCCGCAGTGGAATCTTTGGCACGTTTTACATTAGGTAAAATATGACGGTACAAAGTGATAGTCTGATGCGCACGCTTTCTGTGACTAGTTTCTGGATGACACATACAACCACTTACTGAAGTCGTATGAGGCTGCATAAGGGTCAACCGCTAATTGCGCAAGCTTACAATGTCTAGCGAGAGGGGCAGAGGTTCGGACAATGGGCAGCCCGTCTTACTCTTGGTTTTCGTCCTCACCACATTCACTGCAGACTATAAATGTTCGTCTTCTCCACGTCTGTCCACACCCAAAGACAAACGCGTCATTCTGTAACCTCTCTGCCAATCACACCGTCACTCAGTCCCGGCGAACGAACCTCCAGTTGCCGCATAAACTTCTAAATTTCAAGCTGTAACATTTGCTGTGCTTGGACTGCTCAGAGATTGCTGCCTCCGCTTGCTCTATGAAGACTCAAATATCCAAGCCTGTAACTGCGATCATGATCGAGCAAGAACAATTTTCCAAGCATCTCACCCAGATCCTTAAACCCCTTACCTTCCGAGAGAATATCGAGGAGGGGGACGGCGGCCAAGACTACGATATCTCAGCATGGGTTTGACTTTCTTGCATATTTGCCCTTTTGATATTCCCTGATCCGTCTCGAGATGCCTCCTCCATAAGCCACAAGATACGGCCAATAGCGCGTCCAAGTTGCAACAGAATAGTCACATTCGTAGCAGGAAGCTGTTCGAGAGGAGCCTCGGAAATAAGCCCTGCTGGGACCTGGTGGGGGAGTTTGAGTGATCAACCGCTGACATGGGATTTTGAGCAGTATAATACCCCTTGCGCCACTGTCGCGGTGGCCCGTTCGTCGGCAGTTCTCGCCTCAAACTTGGCTGCTGAGATGCTCCCAGACTTCCGTCATGCAGGGTGGGGAAAACAAAGGCTACCTGGAGGGCCCTGCCCTGACGAGAACACGCTCTTCCAGGCCTGCTCTATCTCCAAGGCTTTCCAGAGCCTTGCCATTCTACATCTATACAGTGAAGGGTCCGTCTTTCTCGTACACTTCTATCCCGACTCAGTGGGCTGCAGCTGGGATCCCAAGCACCTGGAGTTACCATACCAGTCTTAAGCCGCACAGTATTCAAATCCTGGTCTATGGTGAGGTTTGGCGATATCTCGAGAGCAAGGAACTAGAAACTAGCGTAGAAAACAGCTGACCGACATGTCTGGCGATATTCTGCTAACACGAAAAGGCAGGATTATAAAGTCGCTAGATGACCCAGTGAAGACATATATTGGGAAAGCAGTATATGATGTAGTCGTGCTGAACTCTGTACGCAAGGGCGTGCCTGAGGAGCTTTCTGCACAATTGACAGACAGGATGACCATCACCCAACTTCTGTCCCACACTGCTGGATTAACAGCGTCCGGCTTTGTGGGCTACCCGGCCCATAGCGACCATATCAAGACCTCGGCGGAAGTTCTCAAGGGAGGGCTGGGTGACGCCAACAGCCCTCCTGTATACATACACGGCATTCCAGGAATGCAGGCCGAGTACTCTGGTGGGGGCTCTACGATTCTGCAGGCCATGCTGGAAAACATTGCCGGCGAGCTGGGATTTGCCTCGTATGCGTCGTTGATGAAGGCCAAGGTCCTCAGTCCGCTGGGAATGACACGGTCCTTTTACTGTGATGCTGGCCCACTTCCACAACACGAAAACAACTACGCGACAGCCTATCAAAATGGCACCTACCCTCTTGAAAATGGGCAAGTCTTTCACGTTCACCCCGAGCAGGGTGCAGCGGGCTTATGGACGACGTCGCTCGACCTTGTGAAGGGTCTCATAGGAGTGGCGCACACAGCCTTGGGGACACCGGCCGCGGTAAGGCTGAACGGAAACCCGTGGATCAGACCCGACGCTGCCCAAGAGATATTCAAAAAAAGGTCGGAACTTGCTTATGAAGATGACGCTTACTACTGTGGCTTCGAGGTCGAGTTCTTGGACGGCGAGGATGAGTTTCCTGGGGATGAGAGGCTCGTGCGCATCTCGCACGCGGGCAGCAACGAGGGATACCGGTACGTGTAAGCTCCGGCGAAAAAGAGACAAAGAAGGTCTGCTCGGTCAGAGCTGAGGAAGGGAGAGCGATAGAGAGAGAATGGTGCTGACTACCGCTCAGATGCTGGCATGCTGCATCGTTTCCTTTGCCCAGTACGGTGAGGGAAGGCGAAGAGGTTGTCATCAATGCGATGGCGTGCATGACTAACTCCAATTATGGCGGCGACCTCTGCGGACCCATGGTATGTGCCATCTCGGATCTGCTCGACAGTCCTCTGGGGGCAGGGCCCCCAAGTGGTCCATTCACCGACAGAGCACCCTTCATTGCCGTGGACCCGATGCCATCGGCGCCACCAGCGGGATGGGCGGCTTATCAGGGAGAGTGGAGGATCGAAAACCGGGCTCAGACACTCGAGATCACGACTGGCCCTGGGCCGTCTATCGGAGTTGTGTTCAGCCACCTGGAGGGGGTGGTGCTGCCGCTGATGGCATGCGCAGCCAGGAAGGGCCCCGAGATGTTGAGGTTGCGGGTGAGCACGCTCAACGTGACGCTGGATTTTGCCAAGAAGGGGGCCGAGGCGTCGTTGAGCCTCTGCACGGGCGGCGCGAAGCTCAAGTGCACCCGGGGACGGCTGCTTCCGTGAAGGGAGGGCGAGGCAGGCCTGCGGCGACTGTCGTGCTTCGGCGTTTGGCGGGGACTGGCCGTTGACGCCGAAGGACGAGGGGCGGCGACAGAAAACAGCAAGGTTGGATGAAGCTGCGATGAAAAGAACGCTGTCAATGGGCCCCACCGAGGGATCCGCTCCAGATATCTCTCATATCTCTCGTCAACTCAAGCCCAGATCTCTGGGTCCCGGTGGGCCTGGCAGTCCCAGATCCCTCGGTATCTCTCACATCAAAGCATCAGAGCATCTCGGCATTCGCAGCTAGCCTGCAGTAGCGCGGGCATCGAGCAATAAAACCCACACTTCCCTGACCCTTCCGGACCCTCATGGCCTTCCTGGCAGGCCTGGCCCTTCGCCCCCCTTGATGACAAAGCGAGGAAAAAGTCTCCTAGAAAGATTTTCCCCCTCGGTATTACGGCCATTGCGGCTCTACTGTGATTATAGCCTTCACAGACTCGGCTTCATCCTTGACTAGACATCGAGGACATCCAGCCAGCAGAGTTCAAACTTGGACAAGACCCACTAATGACGTTTCGACGAGATCGACTAGGCGTCGTCTTTCCGCCGGCTGCCCCCGTCCCTAGCAATTCCCGCGACTCCTGGCCACGATACCGGAGCACCCTTCAAACTATGGGGTTTGCCAGAAGAGTTTTTTCCCCCTCCTAATCCCTCTCCTTGCTTTGTTCAATCTTCCATTCCCTTCGAGAACGTCATCGGCATTGCACGGTGACTGGCTAGCTTGCTAGTCATGGCCATAGCGTCCCCAAGAGGCTTTGGCACGGCATACTGCGCTGTGAAGATACACATATAAAAGGAGCCCGGACATGCTCGTCCTTAGAAACATAGTGTTTATGTTGAGTTAGTCTGAAGCAATTCCACTTGAATACCAAAGATCGTTTTGAACCATTCCAAACTCGTGCTCTCACAGCTGGCCACGCACTCCACGTAACACGCAACACCCTACACAGCCGCCGCCATGCCTACCTTTACCGTTTTCCGGGGTTCCAAGGATGGCATCCAGAAGACCACAACCACCAAGCCTGATGAGCTTTCCGGTGACCAGGTCTTGTTGAAGGTCACCGCCTCAGGCCTCTGCGGCACAGATCTGCACTACGTACGCAGCGACCCCAGCCTGGCTCCAGTGTAGTGCTAACATCTTCCTCGCTCAGAAAAACGCAGACATGGTGCTGGGTCACGAAGGTGTTGGGGTGGTTGAGGCCCTCGGCCCCGACTGCAAGTTGTTGAAGAAGGGCGACCGGGTTGGCTGGGGCTACGAGCATGACTCTTGCGGCCACTGCAAGCAGTGCCTGACCGGGACCGAGCAGTACTGCAACGAGAGGCAAATGTACGCAAATGCCGACCTTGACCAGGGCTCTTTTGCGTCGCACGCCGTGTGGCGCGAGGCCTTCCTCTTCAAGATCCCCGACGAGCTCAGCGACGAGGAGGCGGCGCCGTTCCAGTGCGCCGGTGCAACCGTCTGGACTGCCCTCATGGCCTACAACACCAGGCCCACCGAGACTGTCGGCATCATGGGCGTCGGAGGGTTGGGCCACATTGCGATCCAGTTTGCCCGCGCCATGGGTGCCCGCGTTGTCGTGCTCTCGGGGAGCAACTCCAAGAAGGACGAGGCCACCAAGCTCGGCGCACACGAGTTCATCGCCACCAAGGGCCAGAAGGAGCTCAAGGTCGCCCGGAAGCTGGACAGGCTGCTGGTCACCACGAGCGCCCAGCCGGACTGGAGCCTCCTGATGCCGATTATGGCGGCAGGCTCCACCATCCACCCGCTGTCCGTGGCCTCGGGCGACTTCAGCATCCCATACATGGCCATGCTTGCCAGCGGCATCACAGTGCAAGGCTCCGTTGTGGCAGCGAGGCAGATGCACAGAGACAGTAAGTGAACTCTCGGCTTGACGCTCCAATGCTTGATATGTGTTGATGCCACGGCTAACATGACACCCTCTCTCCTCATAGTGCTCGAGTTTGCGGCTCTGCACCAAATCAAGCCCGTCGTTCAGACTTACCCCATGACCAAGGAGGGTATCACAGAGGCCATGGACAAGCTGGAGCGTGGCGAGGTGCACTTCAGAGCAGTCCTCGTCCCCCAGTAGGTGTTTCCCTGTGTCATTCCCCCATTTCCCCCCATCATCTGTTGAGCAAGGCGTTTGGTGGATGTAGAATAGAGTATAGACGATCACAGCAATTACTAGACTCTTGAACAGAGCTTGCGTGATTAGGTGTCGGTGTCAGAGTAAATGGAATGAATTTGAAAGCACCAGGTACCGGCCCCTCAGGACGTGACACGACAGATGGGCGTTGCTCGAGCATTCTGAGCATACACGTACTTTGCTCCCCAACCAAACCCAACCCCGCCAGGTGGTCGCGTTCAAGCTCCGGGGCAGCGTGAGAGGTTCGTCTGACGGCGGGTCAGGAATGGTTTCCGCAGGTTGGCATCGAATTTTTTTTTGGGGGGGGGGGGGCGCAAACGACAGGCGACAGGCGACATGCGACATTCCAGCATGTGGGGCGTAGAGTTGAGAAGTTGAGACCATAAACGTCTGTTGACGTGTCGGACCATGGCACCGGACAAGCACTGACACACCGCCCACTTTTTACCTGCTCATCAGCAGCACACCTAGAGAAAGCGTCTAGTATGTTTTGTTTCATCTATGAATAGCACCATTGGTACTGAATGGCTCCCCGGGATGCTCACAGCAGTGTCCACCCCAGCCAGCATCGACGATTGGGACGCAGGAACGCGTGCGTGGTGTTGAGATGGAGGCAGCAACCAATCAGCTCGGCGCCTCGTCTTCTAAGCGTTGTACTGTGCACGGCTTGATCTCCCACCCCCAGCACAGAAGCGGATCCCGGGGTAGGACCAGTCTCTGCTCGGAGACAATTGCATTGAGATGTCCTGGATCTGGGCAGCTGTCGAGTATGGCAGAAGTCTCGGGCCCCACTGCAGCCATATGAAACCAAGCATATAGGCTACACAGTATATGGCTGTGATGAGGAGGGCTGCGAGTGTATACGTAAGCGTCACCGACGCCATCCTCAAGTAGACTAGGTGAACTAGACATTCGGGCAGAGTACTGTGGTACACGGTACATAGTTCGCTGGCCTGCAGATGCCAGGGTGGCACAGTCGTGGCCATTGGACAAAGGAAGACCACTGCGGACTACCAGCATTCAACTGTGTAGTCCGGTGCAGTCCACCTTGTTTTGGGCGGCCTCCCGAATTGTATCCACGCAGCAGGCAGTTCAATGCACATTGCCTTTCACAAGAGGGCTGATGGCATGGTTCTGGATGTCAACCACGGGTTCGACAGCTGTATGTGGGCATGTAGTGCTGTCCGGACTGTCTGGTGGCGATACTTCATCGGCCGCCTCGTTGTCCCGAGCGAGCGGACATTTGTGCAGCATCAGCAAAAGCCTTGGGGAAAATCCACGGGAAAGTCTGTAGGCTCGGTCGGTCGGTCAGTTGGTCGGTCGACCTCGGCGCCTTCGGGTTCACGAGTGACCCGCACCAGCTGCGAAGCTAGCGTCTTTGGGGGCCGAAGCTACAACTTGAGTTGAGTGCCCGGCCTGAGCATCCTTCAGCAGCTCGTGTCCCTCGTGTCGCTTGGTCCCCACGCCCGGGACAAAATAATGCGCACTCACAAACTGCGGTTACCACCTAGACTTTCCCACACTGTGTAACGACACCTTTACTTCACAGTCTTATTTCTTTATCAAGAATTTTTTTTCAAATACAAACTTAACAAGAATGGAATTTAGGAGAACAATAAGCATATGAACCTTATCAAAATTCTATATTTATTATAGAAAATTCAGTTTACAAGCTGTGCAAATGGAGGTACAGTTTGTGAGTGCGTGTTTTTTTGTCCCGGGCGTGGTCCCCTACCAGAAGGTTCGCTGAGCCACGAGGTGATGTCACTGTCACTACCATAGTCCCAGCCAGGCTGGGCTGGCTGGCACGGCTGGCTGTGGCTGGTCAGGACATTGGTGTGTGATGCTAGGACGTAGGAGGCAAGGCTCGTGTATCTGAGTTAACGCCCGTTTGGGTTCAATTGACGGTTCATGTTCATGTTCAACATTCCAGACCGGGACCTTGTGGGCGTCCGGGCCGAATCTAGACGTGGTCGGCATAGTCTCAGTGCTTAGCATTGCTAGAACAGGACAGAAGCTTGTAGTGAGATGTGAAGCATCGCCACACATGGAAATAACCCTACCGGCCATCGTCCCGATCGAGCAATGTGCCGCCGTAAAGTGGGCGAGACTTGTCCCTTGTGCATTGTTTTTTTTTAAAACCAAAAGAGCCTGCAAAATGCCTCCTGTCCAGGAGGCTCTGGTCGGTAAAAATAAAATCTGGCCACCCGTGGCCATCTCCGTCCCAGGGGAATTTCTCTGCAGATAATGCGCCCACAACCCGACGCTTGGACCAGCTCGACGATCGTCCCAAATCTTTGGACCTGGCTCGAACTAATCGATGCTCCACCCGGGGCGGAATTCAGAAGAGGAACCCACTCTTCTCGCCGGGGATGGCCATTTTACAGTATTTGACCCGGCAAGATCGACGTTGGCATCAATCATGACTGCATTCCGCCTGACCACGGCGCGTTGTTGCTTGGTCCTAAAAACCACCTGATCGAGTTGGTGTAAATGAAGATGACCTATTTCGCGATTCAAAGCAGATACATGTCAGCATGCTCGGGCATCGAGGTCAGGATGCCGTCCCTACACAGCCTTTGGCACAAGCCGTTGACCATTGCCATGAATATGGACAGAACCGGCGTCCAAGACCGTTGGTTGGTACTTGAGTAAGGAGCAAAGCCAACTAACGGACACGGCACGTAACAAAATTCTAGTCTAACCGATCGACGAGGATGCTTCTGGACCCCAATGTATAGACGTTGACCGGCAGTGCCATGTGGGACCAAGGAATGACAAGAGGCAACCGTACTTCAAGAGCCTGGGGGCAGCCGCCTCGCATGATGCACGCCACCCTCCCCAGATGCTACACCACAACCTTACATACTGTACTGGCATGGTGGGCGCTGTGATGCCACCATTAATACACAGCAAGGAGGCCCTCGTCAGAAGCACCTTGGTGCAGTTCTCGAAGCCCGGGAGGACTGCAGGCAAGGATACTGTGCATCTACTGCGCATCCAAAAGGGGAAAAGGGGCTGAAACTCACCATTTGCCTGTCCGGGTAAGTAGCCGCGCTCGCCTTGTGGGGATTTGTTTCCGACGGGCGCATGGCCATGCCATGCACAGGATCCTCGCGGTGCGCTGTGGTAGGGCAGAAATGTTTCGAGGAGACTCGAGAGGCTGAGAGGGCGAGAGGGCACACAGGGACGGAGGCCCCTGTCCAGCTTGCATTGCCCGATGGGCTCCGCTTTCAACCTCCGAAGGCTCGGAGATGGGCCCGCGGCTGGTGATACTGACTGCCGGGTCCACTTCTCTCGCCTCCTGAGGCCGGCGTCTGAGGCGTCTGGGGTGTACTGTACGGCCAGGACTATGCTATAGCATCATGGTAGTCACCCTGGCATCCAGCAGCAGTGCGAGGCTGATTTGCTCCGCTGGTCTGTTCCCCCCGAGAGCACAGGCGCAAGACTCAACAGGTGCCGACGCTGGGATGAACGGGACTTGGTCTGTGTGGGCTGCAACATGACAGTCTGTCTAATGTTGATGTACGGCAGACAAGATCCAAGTAAGTACATCGTGTCTACTTGGTCGTGGGGCATGTTCAGATGGAATCGAGGCGAGGTTTGGCTGATAAGTAAACAAGAATTAAGAAAAAAGCTTGGCCCCAGAAAGTAGCGCGATATGTCAGGATGCATCAGGCTCTAGGGAGATACGGTAGTGCTGTGCTTGACGGGCTTGGGTCACAGCAACCGGCTGTGGAGGCTGAGCCTGGCAGCTCATCAGAATAAGCGGGACTGCCGTCAGTGTACATGGTAAAACAACCCTGCCGCCGGTATATGCCATGCTGTCACGGCTGTCTGGCTGTATGGAGGCAGTACTGTGTTGGCCCAGGCATCCCGGAGAGGCAGTGGTATGGGTGATGGAAGAGTGATTAGCCTCCTCATGTTGCATTGCATAGCAAAGCATACACAGTAGAACTGTATTGACAAAAGTGGCAGACAGAAAGACTGACTGACAGACACAGTTTGCCTGTCAGCCTTGTTGTGGATCCGGCCGATGGTGCCGGAGATTAGAAGACGGGCTTAGGTCTCTGGGCCTCTCAGGCCTCTGCCATCCGGATGCTGGATGCTGGACGTTTGTGGATACGACACAATTTGACTCTACGGCAAGTACCATGTACACAGGTCTATCTTGGATCTGTCCAATCATGGAGGACTCTTCCTGGTGAGCTGGTGAGCTGGTGAGTGAGTGAGTGAGTGAGTGTGTGTGTCTGCGTGTGTGAGAAATTCGTGCGTACTGTACATAGTACATGGTAGCGTCGTCGTCATCATGCCCGTGAAACGATGGATGCTGCTGCCGTTAGCCTGCTCAACCTCAACTGGACCAGGAGACAACAGCAGCACCCATCCAACCATTGTGGACTGTATGGGTCAATCAATGCTGTATGTCGTGATCTGGGCTCCATGGAGTTGACTGATGTTTTCTTCCCTCCACAGTGGCCCTCGGTGCTGTGCTGTACGTGTGTGTACTAGACTGGACAAAGTAGAATCGAAGCCCGGGGACACGGCCACAGGCGACAGGCTGTGTGAGTCGAGCGAGGGAGGGTCCCCCCTCCCCCCCCCCAAGGAGTGGACAGACAGACAGGCAAAACAGACGACAGACGACAGCCGACAGTCGACAGTCGAGGAGAGAGTGACTGGAGCTGGTGGGCTGCAGGCTGATTGGCTGTCGGGCATCAGAGTGGGCGGCCAAGGGTACAGAGGACGCGCGTCCTCTCCCTGGACCGGGACCAGATTCCCTGTCGCTTCTCGCATTGGGCCCTCCTGTCCTCAAAAGTCCACACCCCATCCCGCTGCGCCCACCTTCCACCGGCGCCCATCCTGGGCACCCTGGCACCTCTCATCCTGGCACGTCGGCAGCACAGGCACCCACTCCAAAGATAACCCCCCGAACCTGCCTCTCCGTGCCTATCCTCCCTCCTCCTCCTCCTCCTACTCTGGCCCTGTTTCCTTCTCCCTACCGCCTGCAAAACCGTTTCATATCTTCATACTCCTCCCTCTCAACATCCACACACGTCCAACACCCTCTACTGGTCTATTTCATCAACCAACCCTCTCCATCAACACTAGTCTCATTCTCATCACTCACTCCCTTCACTCACTCAATCGCCTATCTAGCCATCCGATCGACCGAGATCGACCGACACTGCGACGTTGCGTATCCATCCGTCCATCATCCACCCGACTTGGGCTGCGTAGAACAACCACCACATCGCCACCTCACATCGAGACGACTTCGTCTGTGTGGGTTGTCAACAGGGGAAAGGAAAGAGACACAGGAGAGAGCATGTCCACACAACACATCAAATCTCAGAGCCCGGCTGCCTCGCAGTCTGGCGCCGTCGACCCGCTCGTCGACTCCATGTTGGACCTGTCCGGCTACGACGACGCCGCCCAGTACCACTCCCACTCTCACTCTCACTCCCACTCGCCCTCGCTATCGCCCGCCGCCTCCAAGAACCTCACTCCCTTCGCCAGGCCCGTTCCTGCTACCGTCCAGACCACCCAGGGCACTCTTCTGTCCGCCTCCTCCACTCAGCCCCTTACCGGCCCCAGCCATCAGTACGACCTGTACAAGCAGCAGACCGGCATTGTCCCAGGCGCACTAGCCAACACCCTCCAGGTCAACCAGAACAACGCCCACATTGGCGCCGGCTATCAGCAGTTCGACATCGACGCATACTTCGCAAACATGAACGACGGCTTCGACTTCAATGCCTCCCCGGCCCAGGGCGCCATGGACATGGACTTCGACTCCCCCTCTACTGCTGACCAGAGTCTGTTCTTTGGCGAGTCGACGGTCAACCCCAATGCAATCGGTGGGCACGAGGACCACAGCCTGCCATCCCCGCCTGGCGTCCCCAACCAGGGCAACGTCGGCCGCGTCTGGCCCGGCATGCACCAGCAGGCCGCCCTCGCAAAGGCTCAGGCCCAGCAGAGGCAGCAGCAGCAAATAATCGCGCAGCAGCAACAGCAGCGCGCCACCCAGCAGCAGCCGAGGCAGCAGCGGCCAAAGAGCGGCGCTCAGCCAACAGACCCCATCGTCGAGCAGAAGATCACCCAGCTCCTCAACTCCATGCGTGCCAAGTCCTCGGGCCCCGAGTCTCAGAACAACGCTCCTCTGATGAACCTTCCCCGCGCTAGGAAGGACGAGGACGACATGGACGAGGACGAGAGGCTTCTGGCAAGTGAGGAGGGCAAGAAGCTGAGCAGCAAGGAGCGACGACAGCTGCGCAACAAGGTCTCCGCCCGCGCTTTCCGATCAAGGAGGAAAGGTACGTTCGCATTGTTTCAGCTACGCACCCCAATGCTTCCATCCACATTGCTAACAAGAATCCAGAATACATTACCCAGCTCGAGGCTGAGATCGCCGGCAAGGTGACCGAGAACGGCGATTTGAGGGCTCAGAACCGGGCCTTGCTCGACGAGAACAAGCGTCTATCTGATCTGACCCGCATGCTCCTGTCTTCGCCTTCCTTCTCCGACTTTCTCGAGCGCCTCAGCACAAACCCTGCCCCTGCCTCCCAACCCGCCCCTCAGGTTGACCAGAGGCAAGACGCCCGCCAGGCCCCGAAGGACGTGAACCCCTACGCCACACACCAGCAGGTGCAACGCCAACAGATCGGCTTGGCCATGCTTCCAGAGCAGAACATGGACTTTTCCATGGTTGGCGTCGACGCCGATGCCTACAACTACCAGCCTCAGGTCTATGCAGTCCTCGAGACCCCTGAGCCGCTCCTCGATGCGTCTGTCCTCGCTGGCAAGTCATCCAACTTTGTTGGTGAGGTATTCGAGTCTGCGCACGACGAGAAGGTTGACATGCCCGTCATTGAGCGCCCGATGGTGGCTGAAGAGAAGCTCAGCGCCCCCAAGGCCCCGCTTGTCATCGACGAGCAGTTCGAGAACGACCCTGACTTCGCGCTTTACCATGGCTCTTCGGCCCCGACCGTCTCTGAGGAACAGGCAGCGGCGGAGCTCGACTTGGGCGGCCTTGTGCAACATGACCTATTCGGTGGCGTCGAGTCTGAAAAGATGCTCGCGCGCTATGAGCTCGTTGACGCTGCAGAAGAGGAGGAGGCTGCTGCTCGCGCCATGGCTCGCTTCCAAAGACTTTCAGAAAGCATGGAACAGGTGTGCGCGAGGCTCGAACTGCTTACTGCCGACATATAACTGGGGCTTCGGCCCCCTTTACACATCCCTTTCCTCGCTCCATCTCGCCTTTCACTCATAGCCACTTTTTCTTTTTCTTTTTTCTTTCTTCGAATTACACCATTCACTGTACATGGACAAGGTCACGATGGACTACTATTTTTATTCGATGGCGTTGGGGGCTCCGTGGGTATTGGGTCGTGGGTAAAAGGGTTTGGCATTGGCTGGGGTTACCGCTCGTCGTCTATGTGTTGTCGGTGGTCAAGTTCCTGTGGCCGTTGTCAAAGTAGATACGGTGCCGGTGCAGTTATGAACATAAAGCTATGGGAACCGCGAGGACCGGCTTTCGGGTGCGCCAGAGATACAATGCAATATGCTGGATATCTGCCACAAAATATGAAATCATGATAATCAATGCTTGCCTGCCTCAATGCCTGCCTCTGTGATTGTGACATGCCAAATGCCGGTATCTCAATGCTCGACGGCGCCGGCTTTGCGGTGGAGATTCTCCCCGTATCGCAGAGTTGTGCGTCTTGTTCTTCCTGCTCCACTGGCTGCTAAGAAGACGCCTGTATCGCCGTATCCCTATGGGCCGCGAAATGCGGCCCGCCGCAAGGCCCGCCGCGGTGTGTGTCTCGTATGATGGTCAACGCGAGTGGCATGGCCGAGCTTGTATGTGGCTTGAGATCATTCTGGGTCTACTGAGCGCTACCAGGTTTCCAGATCATCCTCGCGGTGATACTTACCCCGAGGGCAGGGGGTCCACGACCCTGACCCCCCGGTGCACCCCCGGATTTTTCTCCGCATGATCTCTTGCGCCTAGGTCTTGTCGCTTCCTACGGGCCGCAACGGACCGAGTACGGTAGGGCCCATGTATATATACCAATTGATCATGAACTCCACAAGCTATGTTAGGCGGCGAGTGCCTCAGGAACCTTTAGAAGGGCAGCTCGTTTCGCATATCGACGAACGCAAGACGGGACGGGCATGAAGGCTTGGCCAAGGCAGACGGACTCAACACCAACACCTACGATGGGTCTATCCTCACTCATGATCCTGGCCGGCGCCGGGGCTGCCATGGCCCATACAAGCAATGTCGAGGTGCCCGCGAGTCTTCCTACGCGGGCTCTTGGTCGTGTGAGTGATTTGGCCCGAGGACCCCCCCCCTTCTTTCTGTCAATCAGTGATCAATCCAAAGGCTCCCTTTCTGTTGTAAGCGGCGCTAGGGATGAAGGCCTCCAAGAATCCTACCAGAAATTCTCTTGTGTCTTATTCGCAGAAGTGGAAAACACTGACTAACACGGCCCAAGGATGCTGTCGCGTACTCAGTTGAGCCCGTTTGGTTGGACTCGTTCTCCAACAGCAGTCTGATGGTCACGCTACTTCATGGCATCTCAAACTTGACGGGCAAGGCGACACCTATTCGGATCGGAGGCACAACGAGCGATCAGACATACATTGTGGAAAGCCTGCCCGGCAATGCCACGTCGCTCGAGAGGACTAAGCCCAGCACACAATGGAACGTCACGGCTTCCTGGTTCTCCACGTTCGCTAATTACTTCCCTGATGGCACGGAGGTCATCTACTGCCTCAACCTCGCGGACAACTCCAGCAATTGGGCCAATACCCAGGAACAGGCACGTGCCGTGTGGGAGGCGCTTGGGGAGAAGCTGGTCATGTTTGAGCTCGGAAACGAGATAGACCATTTCATCGACAAGGGCTGGCGAGATGCGAGCTGGGGCGTGGCTGAGTATATCCCGCAGTTCAACAACCTGACGGCTAGCATCATGAATGCTTCCTGGTACGCCGAAGCCGGCGATGCTGCGCCCAAGTTCCAGGCCGCCGTTTTTGCCGACCCGCCGTGGGTGCCAGACCAGCAGGACGAGATTGACGATTTCGACATTGTCAACCTGACCAGGGGAGGGCTGGTCGATCCGGAGCACAAGGTTGTAGAGACCTATTCAGTCCACCTATACCCACAATCGACCTGTGATACGGAGCGCTGGCTGAGGATGCGCCTGGACCTCTTGAGCAATCACACAGCCCTCTGGTTGAATGTGTCGCAGTTCGTGCCTCAGGTCGCTGCCGCCGATTCGGCCAACACGTCCCTCGTGTTCGGCGAGACCAACAGTGTCAGCTGCGGAGGACGTAGCGGCATCAGCGATACCTTTGGAGCCGCCCTCTGGGCAGTAGATTACGTTCTCATGGCTGCTAGTATTGGGATGCCCAGGGTCTACTTCCACCTTGGTGCCCAGTCGCAGTACTCGGCATTCACGCCTTGGTCGTACGAGCTGAATAACGAGACGCTGTCATCTGGGATTCGCGCCCCTTTCTATGGCCACTACTTCGTCGCCAAGGTGGTGGAGGGGTTGGCGGAGGATGAGTCGTACGGAATAGCTGCGCTGCCGGGCGCAAACTCGAGTGACCTCAGCGGCGTAAGAAACCCCCCCCCCCCAAGCATCAGCATGTGGAGGCACCTTGTGGTTTGTCTCGTTCGCGACAGCCTTCCACGAGAAGATGATCAAGCGACTAGTCTCCAAAGCCTGGAATAGACAGGACAGCTTTCAGGCACACACGCACATATCTTTTCTTTTCGGATGCACTTGAATACGCGATAGCTAACATCCGGGTGTTTTAGTATGCTGTTTACCGGGGCGATGACCTTGCGAAGCTTGTGTTCCTCGACATGGGTGTTTGGAACGGCACAGAAGGGCTCTCGAACCCATCCACACTGAGCAGCACCGATGGCACCGTCTTCAGCAACGGGACAAGGCCAAGTTACAACATGACGGTGGCGTCGTCGTGGGCACCGGGCCAGAATGTCAGCATCACTCGCTTGCAGGGCCCCGGCACGAACGCTAAAAGCTCGGTGAGCATCTCGGGCGTGACGTTCGACCCGGCGACGGGAGATCGAGTGGAAGGCGATGCCGAGGAGGAAGTGGTACAGGTTGGCGAGGGCGGTGCGGTCAGTTTCCACCTAGTGGCGGCGGAGGGCGTTCTGCTCCAGGTTGTGAGCAATGCGACGGCTTCTCCAGGAAGTGGAGAGGCGTCGGGAGCGTCCGCCGCGGTGAGCGGTTCCTGGAGCATGTTCGCGATGGCTGTCTTGGTGATAGCCTTGACTGCCTGAGCCCAGCAAGGATGTGAAGTGGAGCTGCCGTACCTAACTAGCTCGCACAATGACCAGCACCCGCACACCTCACCGGTCTTGTTCTTGTCGTGTCAAATGATGGAATATCGTAGTCGATGTGCAGTGAGGCGTGGATACAAGATGGCTCCACCGGCCCTCCCCACGTGTGAGCCAACATCTCATCCATGTCAGTTATATGTGCGTGTATACGTAGTACCCGTATGAGCACACCTTGAACACGAGTGGATCTAGTTCTTGACCAGCCTGTACAGTGCGACTGGAGGGTTGGTTTCAGAGTGGGAGGAGGAGGGGCGCGGGAGTGTGGCAGTCTATAATGTACTTACATGGTGTCAGTCATTCCAACCTGGATGCAGAGAAGCGCCCCGAGCATGTGAGATGAGATGCCATGAGATGAGATGAGATGAGATGATACGACACGACATGACACGACCCGAATAGCTTGAGCCTCGACCACCATGAGGCTCGTGGAGAGGCCGGGCACTGCATTGCCACGAGATTGGTTCTTTCCGAGGGCGGCGATCAAGATGGCCGTGCTGCTGGCATTTACCGGAGACTAAATATGGACGCACAGAGACTTCAAGTACATGTGGGCTAGGCAGAGCGTGTTCAACGTCGGGCCATTCCATCTTGGTGCCGGCGGGAATTGGGCTGTGATGATGATCATATTGATTGGCCTCCCCCCTTCTGCAGCAAAGCAAGAAGATCAACAGGATCAACAGGACCAATGTGTCGCTGAATGTCGTCGAACAATCAGGCTGACACATTGCCAGTCTACTTTTTGCTGTGCCAGCTGCCAGCGTGCATGGGGTAGATGCACGGTTGCGGCACGCACACTCGTGGTGGTGGTGACAATCATACAGTAGTCTGCCTAAGCATGCACATGGGCAGGCACATGGCACATGGGTGCTCGTGCTTGGGCCTTGGGGGCCGACACACTGACCTGACTGAATTGCTAGGCGTGCTAGGCGTGCTAGGTAGATGAATGAATGGGTGGAGGTTGGGTCGCCGTTTGGTCCTAGTTCCAGGGGTAAAACGGGGTGGGGAGAGGTGGGAGGGGGGGTCAGAGAGAGAGAGAGAGAGACACACACACACGAGGGCACGGATCACCGCACCTCTGGATTCTCCAATGGCCCTCGTTCTGTGGTTTCTGCTGCTCAGAAGGTATTCAGTGTACCTAGGTATGTAGTCTCGGTAGTCAGGCAGGTAGATATTGCTAGGGGATCGTCTGCTTTCCTGTCTGAAGATCAATTGGACCTCACTGCCCTCGAGAGTCCAAGGTCTGCCAGCTTCGGTGCCAGCTTCGCTGTGGTCAACTCCCAGGTATCTACCGCGTGCCCAGAGACCCATGCCCATGCCCATACCCACACCCACATCCACACCCACACACATTGCTCTCGCCCACGCCCACGCCCACGCCCACGCCGTCGCCAACGCCAACGCCAAACCTCACGTCTTTGCATCTTTGCATCTTGACATCCTCGCAATTTTTTCGCATCCTTGCGCGTGCCGCGAAGCAGCCCGACACAAGAGATCGTATCCTGCCCATCGAAGCTCCCGTCTCGCGACACTTTTCATCCCCCCCGGCCCTGCCCATTCGGCCATGCCGCATGTTCGTCCTCCACAGATAGGACAAGAGGACACCGACCTCCACGCACTGTCCGAATTCCTCACCCGAGACCCTTGCTCTATCTCGCCGGCTGCTATTATCATCAACTCCTGAGTGGAGACGCCCACCCAAGGACACGCGCACACAGCAGCACCACAGTCCAGTCCACTTGGCAATATCTCCAGTAGCCACATCGACTGGCTCATCCGCTCACCTCCGAGCCAGTGCCAACATCCAGCCCGCCCAGACGCTCCTACGCCCCGGCCGAACTGAGAGCTTCCCTCTGCCACAACCCACAGCGGAGCCGCCCTCAGACCCAGGTACACACCAACCTGCCTGGCCCGCCAAAGCAGCCCTCCTCCTCTGGCCCGCAAGCCTCGAGGGGCTGTGGCCGCCTCGGCCTGCACAGGCTTGTCCCGACAACCGCCTCCGTCCTCTCCAGCTTCATGTGCTCCAGATCAAAATGCCCTGGCAACCTCTGCCTCGCATCGCCTTCGCCATCGCGACCTACCCCTTCGCCCCCCAAGAGCCCGAGGACCTACCGCTCGAAATTGGCGACGAGCTGTACATAATCGAGGAAACCCCCGACGGGAGCTGGCTGCGCGGGTACCTAGTCGCACAGCCCTCCCTGGTCGCCGGCCTGACCTCGGTCAAGGGCCAGACGCTCGAGGCTAGGATTTACAATGGCATCTTCCCCAGGAGCTGCGTCGAGATCCGCGAGGTCCTCGGCGAGACAGACGACCCGGACGGCAACCCCGACCCCGACCCGGACAGCTTTGTACAAGCAGCCGACCCGGGCACCGACTCTGCAAAAAGCGGCATCACGGGCGACGTCAACAGGCGTCGCAAGAACGATGGCGAGCTGGGCCCCGTACTCAGTCCGGTCAGTGACGGCGGCAGGCCGAGGAAATGGACAAAAGACCTGCCAAACGGCACACATGGCGCCCTGTCCGTCCCGGTGCAGAGGGACCCCGACGCCCCTCGCCCGCAGGCCCCGGTGCCAATGTTGAAGATCGGCGACGAGACACCTACCTCGGCCTCCGAGCCATTGATCGACGAGATCGCATCTTGTCTTCGCGAGTGGCATTCTACAAACTTGCACGAGCTCCTGCTGTCGCGCCAGTACCCCAAGCTGGAAAACCTCGGCCAGCTCGTTACTGCGCTCTACTTCGCCCGGCAGCAGTTCCTGCACAACGTCCTCACAGCATGGGAGTACAGGCGCCTGCGCGAGAGGACCGTTTGGGATCTCGTGCGCGTCAACAAGCTTTGCGGCGGAGAGGTCATTGTGCGCGATCCCAAGGAAAGGGGGCGGGTGCTGACTGCGGACGACTCCGTCGTCGAGGTGACCAAGCTGCAGTCCGTCATGAGCTTGCTGGATGAGCCGCCTCGCCCTGTCGTGGAGTCCACGTCTCTGCACCATTTGTTGGTTGACGTGCGAAGCATTGCCGGCTCTCTCGGCGAGTCAACGACTCTCGTGCTTCATCTTGTCAGACGGCCCCTTGGTGGGCTGCCCACCCAGCTCTCGGAGCCCTACATCATCGAGATCCCCGCAGGTGGCGCCATGGGCAGCCTGGGCAAGAGCGCACACGCGCGCATGCGGACGCTCTTTTCGGACCTTTCGCCCCAGGACACTGGCACTGCGCCTTCGGTAGAGTCCGAGATATACCTGGTTGTCAGGGTCCGTGTTGCGGAGCAAATCGTGACTGGTAAGCCGAGCTCAAGGTCCGGCTCTTTCTCGAGGGAGGCCGCGTCATTGTCGAAAGATGGAACCCGGCCGCCGCTTTCCAGCGGAAACAAGTCTGTGCGAAGGAGTTTGATGTGGGCTGGGAAGAGCACCAGGTCGGCACTCTCCAGAGGCTCGCCTATGGCCAAGGTCGACGAGAGGGCCGAGGAGAGGCCCTTTTCCGGCGGCGCGGAGAGCAGAGAAGGGCCGCAGCCGCCGGGGACCGCTAGCTCAAAAGCATCTCACTCGTCTAGCGATGGAACGGCAACCATGACGGCAGACCGGCTCGCTGGCGTAGGGTGTCTGAGGCTGGATGCTATCCTGAGGCAAGACGAGGAGGTCGAGCAGGTGCTCGACATTTGGTCACCATCGGCGAGGTTCGTTTCGGAGAGGGAAACCGGAGATGAATGGGACCCCCTGATCAGGGAGATTGTCGACAGCAAGTCCGGTCAGTATGAGAAGTCGAAAACTGTGGAGCGGCTCCAATTGCACCTGAAAGCCTTCAACCACCCAGACTCCGATGTCCTCATCAAGGCCACGCCAACCCTGCTGTCCGGCACCTCCAAGACCAGAAAGATGGGCTTTTCGGGGGCGCCCACAAAACCCAGGTCGGATATTTACATCACCCTGGACGAGGCAATCCTGTCCAAGCAGACTCTGCTGTCACGGTACGGCGCCAGTGCGAGCTCCATGCCCTCAAACTTACCGGGGAACAATGTTCAGGTTACTCTGGAGGTTCGGAAACCAAGCGGTGAGCAGATTGGTGGGTGCATCTATCCCTCTTCCAACTCCGATGGCCTCGACACTTGGAAGTCGACTGCGACAGACCCAGGTGAGCCATGGAGGCAGACCTTGCGTTTGGTGTTGAAAGACGAAGACGTCCCCGTCGCTCACCTGGTCATGTTTCTGGCCAATATGCCCAATCCACCCTTCGCCATAGCATACTTGCCACTGTGGGACCAGCACGCCTTCATCAGGGATGGAATACACGGCTTGCTCCTGTACAAGCTTGATGAGTTTACCTCGTCGGCACAGGCTGGGCCTGTGGGCAAGGGTGGCTACCTGTCTCTGCCACCGACCGCCAAAGGTCACTCGGCAGACGTCACTGGCCCAATCGCAATCTTACGGCTGGAGTCGTATCTCTGTAGTACGCGATACTCTCAGGATCGCGTGGTTTTGGCCCTGCTCAAATGGAAAGAACGGGCACGGTCTGAGATTCCAGGCCTGTTGAAAGAGCTCATCTTCGTCGATGAGATAGAGATCGTGAAGCTCCTTGACGACATCCTTGACTCGCTCTTCGCTATCCTTGTCGAGTGGGCAGGCAACGATGAGTACGAAGATCTCGTTTTCAGTGCCCTGGTACGGGTATTGGACATCACTCACGACAGACGTTTCAACATTGCGCCTCTGGTAGACCAGTACGCGGAAACGAAATTCAAATATCCATTCGCCACGCCTTGCCTGGTCAGGTCGTTCACGAGGCTATTACAGAAGCCCACTGAGCCGGAAACAGCAAGAAAGTTGAGGGCCACATTCAAGGTCGTCCGTCACATACTCAAGTTCATCACCCATGGTCGGGGCCAACAAAAAGAGAAGGAAGCGGGAATCGGTATCACCAGCAACAACCCGGGTTTCACTCGGCATTTGCGTAGCATTTTCAAGGCCCTCGACTCGATGATGCGCAGCTCTGCGCCCGTTCTTGTTGGCAGCCAGACCTTGGCAGTCCAACACTTCCACACGTGGCTGCCGGAGCTCTCTGGGCTGCTGACAAACGAGGAGATCCTGCACATAGCCATCGACTTTATGGACTCATGCTCGTTCGTCAAGGGCAAGCTGGTCCTCTACAAGCTCGTCCTGATCATCAACTACGCCAAGTTAGACATCTTCTCGCACCCTGAGCAGAGGTCCGCTCTGAGTGCCAACACCGTCAGATGGATCGCGCCTCACTGGGGTCATACAGAAGAAGTGACTGGGGTGTGGAAAGACCAGGTCCGCCTTTGTTGCTCGATTTTAGCCAGCCAGGTTGACCACCTTGGTCCAGAGATCCCGGATTACATACCCAAACTCATCGATTCGTATCTCTGCATCCAAGCGGTGCCCCAGCGGCCCAAGCTCGGGCTGTCGCTGTTGTTCCCAACCTCGTATCCGTTCCCCTCCAAGCCCACAAAAGACAAGATGGTGGTGGAGGAAGCTCTCATTGAGCTATCGGCCGTCCTGTCGGCACTGGCGAGCTCGCCTAGCGGGATGCAGTTGGAGCTGACCGACGATGATTTGAGCGTGGTGCTGGAGAACACCCTTCACGTCCATATGAGCATCCTGCAGGGCGAGGCTTTCCCGCCCGACTGGCTTAGCGTCCACATATACCACCACAAGTCCGCCATGCGAACTTTGCAATACCTGTCGAGCATTTTACTAGATACCTTCCTGCCGCACCCAGACGAGGCGGAGTCCTTCAACACGGAGCTTTGGAAGGTCTTTTTCACAACCCTGTTGAAGTTGGTCGGCAGTCCGTCACTCGCTCTCGAGACATTTCCTGAACAGAAAAGACGTGCTGTCTGGAAGATCGCGGGTGATGTCCGCGAGCATGGGTCGGATCTCTTGAGGAGGACGTGGGAGGCTATCGGCTGGGACACGAGCCCTGATGAGAAGCAGCGCTATGGCCTGAGTAGGATGGGCGGCTATCAGGTCCAATACGTCCCAACGCTCGTCGCTCCGATTGTTGAGCTCTGCTTGAGTGTGCACGAGGGCCTCAGGAAAATGGCAGTTGAAGTCCTGCAAACGATGATTGTGAGCGAATGGACACTGAGTGAGGACCTATCCGTCATTCAGACCGAGATCATCGACAGCCTGGACTCATACTTCAAGACAAAGCCCCTAACCGAGAGCATACTTCAAAAACTCTTTGTTGGTGAGGTTCTGGACCGATTCGAGCCGCTGGCTGAAATACCCGATGAGCCCCTGTACGCCGGAATCCGCGATCTCATGGCGACGGTCGACGAATTTCTAGACCTCCTTGTTGCAGTACATAGCGGGGATGGTTCTGGCGAGGCCTCAAACCTCATTAACCGTCTGCGCCTGATGGAGTTCCTGCGTGACATGCAAAAGGAGGAGATATTTGTGCGCTATGTACATCAGCTGGCAGAGCTGCAGGCCGGGGCGAGGAACTTCACAGAAGCCGGTCTGGCCCTGCGCCTGCACGCTGATCTCTATGATTGGGATCCTGTCAAGTCCATTCCGGCCCTCTACGACCCGGAATATCCTGCTCAAACACAGTTTGAACGGAAAGAGCGCATCTACTTCGACATGATCAAATACTTTGAGGATGGTGAAGCATGGAGCAGTGCGCTTGCCGCCTACAAGGAACTCGAGGCCCAATACGAGTCCAACGTGTTCGACTTTTCCAAGCTGGCCAGGACACAGCGGGCCGTTGCCACGATCTACGAGACAATTGCTAACAGCGAAAAGCTCGTACCGAAGTACTACAAGGTCGTCTTAAGGGGCCTCGGGTTCCCGGCAAGCGTGCGTGACAAGGAGTACATCTACGAAGGTTGGCCAAACGAGCGAGCATCTGGCTTTACAGATCGCATACAAGAGCAATATCCCTCCGCACAGATAGTGACCAGCGAGAACATTGACGACGTCGAAGGACAATTCCTGGTCATCTCGTCAGTCAGCCCACACCGCGATCTCGCCCATCACGTTTTTCAGCGGGCCAGGGTCCCGCAAATCATCCGGGACTACATCATCTCCGCACATCCCCAGCGATTCTCCATTTCAACTAAGAGAAGCACCAGTGGCGCGGTGGAGGAGCACTTTGCCGAAAAGGTAGTGTATACAACAGTCGAATCGTTTCCCACCATACTGCGCCGCAGCGAGATCGTGAGCACCGATGAGATGCGCCTCGGAGCGAAGGAGGCGGCACTGGAGCGCATTGTGCGCAAGACGCAAGAAATGACGGCGGTCGAGAAGAAGATTGTCGACGGCGACAGGAGCGACGAGGTCGCGCAGCTACTCGTGGATGCAATCAGCATCAGCGTCAACCCAGATTCGGAAAACAGCGTTGTGTCTTATCGTCGACTGGTGCCTGGGACGCAGCCGACCGGTGACACAGCCTCACAGTCCGGCGACGCAGAAGACTTAGAAGCGCTAGAGGAGCAGATGCTGGATCAGCAGCCAGAGTTGGATGCGCAGGAAAATGCGATCAAGATGGCCCTGATTGACCACGCCATCATGATCAAAAGATGCCTTGCCACGTTCGCGAAGAGCTCCAACCAAATCCTATTGAGCCACCACGGGGATTTGCAGAGATGTAAGTTGACTCGATGGCTGTTCGCCCAAATCCAACCCCTTGATTTGAAGTCTGCTAACACCGGTTCCAGGCTTCGAGGCCACCTTTGCGGCGGAAATCGAGGCGTTCACGCCGCCGCAACCTGCTCGGGATAACTCGCTGCCCTCGCCATCAATGGCAACCCCGACCACGCCAAAGCATCAGCACCAGTTCAGCACGGTGTCAGCCAACGGAGCAGCTGAGGTCTCTACGGTGCAGCCGGTATCCCTACGTCAAGGTCGTGGTGCGCGGCTGAGCTTCCTGGGCGGCCGCAAAAGGGAGCCGCCCCAGCAGCCGAGGACACCGGTAAACGGCGAGCAGGGCGACAGGAGCGAGACGGCAAGTAGCCGAAGCGAGAGCAAAGGCGCGGACAGCCACAGGAGGAGCTTCTTCCGAGCACCGTCGCACGAGACCCAGCGGCCTGCCATGGGCATCCCAGGCAGCGCGACCAACGGAATCCAACAATCCAACGGACCTGTGTCGCGATCGGGTACAGAGGGCAGCGATTGGATAACCGACTCTGGTAGCCATGGGAGCTATGACACGCGCATTCTCGCGAGCACCCCGGTGGATTCTGCCGATAGGGAGAAGGAGAGACTTGACGGTGCTGGGACGCCTAAGCTGGGGGGCATGAAGAAGAGACTCAGCTTGCTCAGGATTGGCAAGAAGGCTGGCAGAAGTAATGGTGCCATGGGTGCCCTTGACGAGGAATGAGCGGAGCGATCACTCCTCCCCTGAGGCTGGGGGCAAAGCCGCACTGGCGAAGAAACTGGAGTGGGCAGCAGTTCGCCCGGCTGCAAACCCCTTCCCAGGCTGATTTTCTTTTCTCTTACTATTTTTCCCTCCGTATTCTTTCACCTTTCTCAGGGCATCGGGTCTTTGGGGCACTTGGCCCGCCAAGGGTCGGGGCTTGGCCGTGGACTGTTCCAGCTATGCACCCAAGCATGTTTCCGGGGGCGGAGAGTCTGTTTTTACTTAACCTAATACTGTGTGAGGGCAGCTGATCATCTAGTGCAGCTTGCCATCTTGGCCGCCCGCGGTTGGGAGCAGGCGTTCTGGAAAGTTGGGGACGAAGCTGGATAGATAGGATGTGCGCGGTATCTAAATACCACAGGCCCGGCAGAAGCTGTCAGCTGGGAAGGAGGGCATGGGCTGTATTATTTATCCTGTATATAATCGTCGTCGTCGTCGTCGAGTTTCACCTAGATACCACCAACACGCTTTCTGCTTTCTCCTGCCTAACTCGTCGAGCCTGTGTCGCCGTGAGGACTGGCTCAAGTGTGATGTTGGTGCATTGTCAACGGACCTACCAGGCCATAGGTATGGCAGAAATATGTTGGAATGACGAAGTATATAATACTAACGGCACATGTAGACGGCCATACCAGCCTGAATGCCCAGCTCAGATAGTCTAGGTGGTTGCAGAAGCCAGCCTCTGTGGCTTGCTGGCTTGCTTATTCATCAGCCTACGCAGGTAGGGGTCGCCCGGCACACGTCAATTGCATTGCAAACGCGCAGAACTGGGGCATGTCAATTGGCAGCCAGCAGACGACCCGTCTGCAAAGCGCAAGAGACCGTAACAGCAGCAGCAGCCGCCCTCTGGCTACAAGAAGAGTAGAAGTCCAAAGGCGACATCATGCCCAAGTCCAACAGTCGGCGTCTCGACAAGGACGAGAAGAATGTCCTGCTCCACCTCTTACAGGCGCCCAAGCTGACCAACTGCGACATTGCCCGGTAGGTCTTGTCTTGCCAATACATACAGTAGCGACGCTCCGCTCGTCAGAGTTCCAGCATGCTATCAAGACTCATTTACAGGACGGTTGACTGACTATCTACCAGCATCCTCAAGGTCGACGAACGGACCATCAGCCGTCGACGGAAACAGCTCAGGACTCTCGGCCACCTGAGCCCTGAGAGGAACGTCAAGGGCGCCGAGAAGCTTCATGACTGGCAGCTCGAGGTTGGTCTCGCTTCCGCATCGGCCCGCCGTCCTAGTTGCGGTGTGCGATGGCGAATGGTGATAGTTGTGGTCAGGGGGGTGGTTGTGCCCTGCCGTCTTCCGTCTCCCGTCTCCCGTCTTCCGTCTGCTGACCTGAGCCGGTTCGCTCCAGAGAGTCATCTCCCTTCTTGACGAGAACCCTGACCTGCAACTAAAGGACATCAAGGACTTTTTGCAGACCGAGTACGACCTCAACGTCACCGTATCCACGATAAGCCGCCAGCTGTCAAGGGCAAACCACGCCCGGGCCAGGAGGCCAGGCTACAAGGGCAAACGACCCGACCTGCAGCCTCCGGAGCCGCCAGGCCCTGCCCAGGACCAGCTTCAACATGGATTAGACGACGCAGCAGCCGGCGAGCAGCCGGGCCAGAGCCAGCCTCATGCAGTCAGTGAGCTGCAGCCCACGGCTGCCTCGCAGCAGGATCGCCCGCTGCTGCTGAGATGTCCCTACTTCGCGGCTAATCCTCAGCGTTACATGAGCCACCCCTATTGCCAGAGCGCCTGGCCTACCGCCCGTGATGCCAAGTGCGTAGCCCGCAGCAGCCCCATTCCATCCTTAAAGCCCCCTTCATCTGACCGCCGTCCTGGGATAGGGACCATGTCGTGCGGCAGCATTCTGTCCCCAGGTTTAGGTGCAACCGCTGCATGGAACACCTGGACGACAACACCGCCCTCATCCTGCACCAGCGGGCGCCAGATCCTTGCCCTCTGCGGGAGTGGGTGGCACCCGAGGGCGTCGACGAGGAACAGAAGGAGAAGTTGCGGAGGATAGGCCAGGTAAGGATGAATGAGCGAGCCCTCCTCCTGTGCGCTGTGCACTGGGCGTCGGGTTTCAATACAGCCATGCTGACTGTTTGCACGCAGGGCGACGAGGTCGAGAAGTGGAAAAGGATGTTTCGCGTTGTCTTTCCCGGGCTTGAGGATATGCCCAACCACCTGATACATGAGACTGCATATTTTACAGCTATTGACCCTGCCTTGGGGGCTCTCCCACAGGCAGATCAGACAAACCAGGCGGCGGAGGCGATGGCGGTAGCAACAATAGCAGCCACTGAATGACACGGAGTCTTTCGCCACACCATCCACCGGGTTGCCCTATTCAATCAAACTCCCCCGCCGCCTGTCTGTCTCCATAAACACATTCAACCTGAACGCCAGAACCATGCGGATGATCCAACCGTATCTTAATCAAAACGCCCAAGTATATCCGTATCCTGCTGCCTTCTATGAACAATCAAACCCAAACGGTGGAAGTGGCACACTGCAGGTTTTCACCAGTACGGTCCATCGCTGCCAGAGCCCTCTGTCGCGGGATCCCAGTCCCTCTCTATCCTCCACGCGTCCTCAGCCTTGATTCCCATAAAGGCAATGTCGCATCCCCGGTGGCCGTACTTCTCGGAGAATACGCGTCTGCCCGTCTCGATCATCATGTCCAGGCCTACCTGGAAGCCTTCAGGGTCCCTGTAGAACGGCTCGCCCTCGCCTCCACCCTGCCGTAGCTGCCACATGTTTCTCCACCAGCCGCCGTCGATGTACTTGACGGCCTGCATACGGTAGGCGATGTCCACCAGTTGCTCGATCGTCTCGCCCTGCTCGTCAACCAGCCTCTTGCGCTCGATTTCTTTGTCATCCAACTCCAACCCGTCGATTTTCGACAGCTCCTTGACCTTTTGCTCTTCATTGTCTTGTGCGTCGGCAGGGCCTGGGTCGCCGGCGAAGGTTGCGTGGGTGCCGGGTATCCGGAAGAAGGCGGCTATGTTGTCAAGCGTAGTCGAGGTATCGATGATAATGCCGATCTGTGTCGAGCCTTGGAAGTAGCCTGCCCACTGGAGGCGATCGTACCTGGAAGTGATCCAGTCAGTCAGGAACGCACGGTGGGATATAGAAAGGCGCGTGAGAGTAAAGAGAAGGGTCCGATTCGGAGGGATTCCCTGCGAGACCATGCTTGCTTACATGTCACAGTCGGTGGCATAGAAGGGGATGTGGGTATCCCAGCCGCCGACATCCAAAATGGCATCCCGGTGCACCAGGGTCAGGTGGTCGTAGGCAAAGAAGTGGTGGGCCCACTTTGGGATGCCCGGCTGGTGGAGGTAGCGCAGGATGGCGACAGCCCTCGAGTAGAGCGAATAGTTGGCAACGTCCTTGGAGCCGTCGGTGTGGGGGCGGAACTCCTTCTCGAACGAAAAGGCCACCACGTCCTGGTGCGACCAGAAGAAGTCGGTCCAGTTCCGCTCGAGCGCGGTCCAGGCGTAGAAGTTCTGGAGCTGTGCAAAGGTGAAGAGGGTGGGCGTGACGATGACGTTGACGCCGAGCATGGCGAGCTGGGTGTGGTTCATGTAGAAAGGGTTCTGGAGCGAGAGGAGGTTGTCACGGTTCGAGTACATGACGCCCGTGTTCTCGACGACGTAGATGTCCTCGGGGGGCCAGCCGGCGGTGATGTAACTCGAGACACACTGCAGCAGTTGCGGCCAGTTGCGCGTGAAGCCGATCAGGAGCGGCGTGTCCTCTGGGACATGGGTCCTCGGAGGGCGGTTGATCTCGGGCACTCTGGCCCGCAGCTCCCGGCTGACCTCTGCCGGGGGGTTTTGCGACAGCATGGGGAACGGGTCTGGGATGGGCGGCGCCGACTGTCGTGGCGGCTTGGGCGGCGGCTTCTTCTTCATCTCGTACTCCTCATTCCTCCACGAGAAGAACTCTCTCTCAAGAGGGTCCATGGGCTTCTGGTGCGGGTTCGGCTCGTCCAGCAGGAAGGCTGCCTCGCCGGCGGGGGAGGGCGGCTCGGGCGCCTTGGCCGTGGGCTGCAAGCCCTTGCCCTTGGCGCCGGATGCCGTAGTCGGGGCAGCGGCAGAGGCTGCCCTGCGCTTCACATCCTGCTGGGTCGGCAGTAGGATCTCATAGCCGCCATCTTTCATCCAGTTGATGATAGAGGGGAAGTCGGTCGACCCGGCCGTGCCATCGTGGTGGGACGTCAAGTAGAAGATGCTGACGAAGAAGACAACCAACACGAGGACGCCGCGGAAACGATAGAGAGCAGAGCGGCGGTAAGACATTGCACTCAGGACCAGGAGAGCACAAATCTTCCCATTACGCTCGCTACTGCTGCACGTCGCCTCTGTTTGGGGAGGGCGAGGTCTTGTTTATCGGTTTTGTGTGTCTGCGCTGCTCTGCCTGTTCTGTCTGTCTTGGCAGAGGTGAGCAGAGTGGGAGCACAGCAGCGCCTCAGGCGAGTAAGTGTCGATCGTCCCGAGCAGACTAAATTACTGCAACCCGGCCAGGGGCGCCTCAGACAAATGGATGATGACGATGTTCAGGAGCGCGGGCGCGGGCGGATCAGGCGCTCAGATGCAGGAGTATAACGATGCGAACGAAAACAGGAAAAGGAAACAAGGGGGAAATGATTCTAATGAAACAAGAAAAGAGCGTCGCCGATGGCGGGGGGGAATGCGATGGGCGAGAGAGAGCGAGAGAAAAAGAGAGGAACAAGAGAGAGGGACAGATAGAGGTTGCAGGATACCTACAGTCAAGTCGAAACATGCGTGTCTTCTCCGGACCCTCGATTCATTCACTCAAACTAACTCTCTCCTTCACCCACCCACAGACCCATCCAACCATCCATCCATCCATTCATCCATCCGTCCACCCGTCCATCCATCTGTCAATTAATCAATCAGTCAACTAAGTCATCCAGTCATCCAGCTCTGGCGACTTGGTCCTGTCCGTCGACCGACCGACATGAGTGGCCAGGAGGCGCATGCAGTACGCACGTAAATAGGGCATGCAACATTGCTGTGCAATACCCAGTGAGCCAGTCTAGCAGACCTAGACTACGTAGTACCGCTAGCTGAAGTACCGGACGGAGTACGTATTCGTGCATCATTATGGAGCCTACGAAAGCCGGTGGTTGATTGCAATCAGGGTTGATGTTGGCCGGAACCCACTATTCAACCCGGGTCGGGACCCTGGAATCTGGGCCCTCAGGCCCTTTGCTGACCAGGACTGGCCGAGACTGGTCACAACCAACCCACGACTAAGCAAGGACTGACACGAGCCAGGGGTTACGCCAGGTGCGGGAGGTGGGGAGCTGGTGGGTGGCCTGGTGGCACGGTGGGTGGGATGGGCACACAAGAGACGGACGGAAGCTTTCTCCATTCAGCACCCGGCATCAGCGCCAGCAGCAAACGGCCGCGCAACACCGTCCACATCCCTCATGTTTCAGACTAATGACAACGGCGCCTGGAGGCCCGGCCACGCCCTAGACGACCTAGATTGCCGGCTGCTCAGCTACTACACATAGCTCACATCTAGACAAATACCCTGATAAATACCACGGTAGTCCGTCTACATGCTACTTGCTACCGCGGCTTACCGGTGCGTTCAGTCCCGTACACACTGTCACATCTGTGATAGAGCCAGGTTCCACAGGCACAAAAAGGCCGCGCAGAGCAGAGTGCAGCACGTGGGTGGATAATAGTATAGTACTACAGTATCTAGTCTAGCGGGCTACTCACGGTCAAAACATAGGTCAACGGCCACCACGGCCCAGCATGCTGCTGCACATGGTCCGCAGCCAGAGCCTACATCTTACGTAGACTAGTAGGCAAAGGTCAAGGCCGAGTCCCGTCCAGCTCACTGCACATTTCTTGCCGCTGGCCGGAGAGGCGTGGCATGGGCAGGGCAGCCTCAGCAGAGTAACGACATTGACTTCTACTTGCCCCTGCGCACTTACAATCCAACATATCAACACATACTGTACGTGATGATGATCGTCATCGGCCGGCACAGTCCGTAAATCACCCACTGTCACCAGCGACAACACGCTTCCAGCAGTGACGCATGCCGGTCCCCATAGTCTCCTCCTCCACGCTTGCTCGGTCTGCCCACCGTGTTCTTTCGGCCAGCACTATCGCGGCCGGGCTGTCCTCAATCTCGAAGCTGTGGACGTGCATAGTCAATTTCAGATGCGAAAAGACCCACGGGACACTCCCCAAGTCACCAATGTACTTGACGCTAGCCTGCCTCTTGCCATCTGTCGGTTGGAAGAGCCCTGCAACAAATTCCCGTGCAATCCGCCTCCTACTCGCCGTAGAGCCAGTCCCGAGAACGGGCAGTACATGGCTTGGGAGTTCCCACAGTCCGGCGAGAAGCCCTACAGCACACCAGGTTAGCTGGGCTGCTCCTGTCGGTTTCATGGCCAGCTTACCCTTTTCTGGACGTTTCTGGATCAAATAGCAGCCGTCACTAGTGCGCCTCACGGCACAGACGACAGTCTCTTCCTCTCGGATAGCCTTCTTCGAAATTTTGACGGGAAATCTCTTGGCATGAGAAATGACAACCTCAACAGCCCGAGACGAAAGTGGATGCTGATGATCGCGCTGACCTTTGCCCCCAGGTAGGCTTGGGGAGCGCGTTGGGGTTGGGGACGGTTTCTGAGTCCGCTCGGATCTCTTGGCTGGACGCCTGGGTCGGTCTTTGTCCTCCACAACAGGGTCCCCAGTGACATCCTCGAGAGCTTGGGCGCTCCAGTCGGAACAGATCCTGCAGATGTCTTCCATGTCCACCATTCCAGCAGTATCGTGAGGGTTGTCTGAGCCAAAGCCTTTCATGACTGCCACGGTCCTGCCCTCCTCGAAGGCTCGGCATGTGAAGTTGATGGGGCAAGCCACACACTGCAATATCCACGTTAGCAATCTCGAAGAAACGATCGGGGTTGGAACAAAGCCCTATCCCCCGCAAGTTCCAGAATGTGAAGTCCACTGAGAATATACACAAATCGCCCGTGTAAGAACGCACAAGGAGTGTCTGCCTCGTTGGATGCTTACATTTGGCTGGGGGCTACAAATGGTACTGCCTAGCTCCATCAGAGCCTGGCCCCATCGCCCCGGCACATCACTTGGTAAAGCCTTGCCCGTCTCCTTGTCAACCTCGGAATGCTCTGATGCATTGACCTCGACAAGAGCACGCGCGGCAGCCCATAGCAGGTCGATGACGGCCTTGTCAGACTTGACATTGCCTAGGATTCCCAACTGGCGGCTAAGCACGCGCAGGACATTGCCGTCAACCATACAATCCGCATTCCCAAAGGCGATGGCAGATATTGCGCCTGCGGTGTAACGGCCCACGCCGGGCATCTCGTCCTCGAGTTCCTTGGCGGTCTGAGGCAGTAGTCCGCGCCGCGTTGGATGTTGAACTACGGTCTTGGCCGCCTCGTGTATCCTCTTCGCACGGCTGTAGTCTATTCAACCACAGAGGTTAGTGCTCGCTAGAAGACCGCAGGTGCTCCCAACTCGAGACCGTGCCCATGGTTACATGAGTTCTCTCATCGTTTGAGAGGGATTTGTCGGGGGTGGGGTTTCAACAGGCAGCAGATTGGTCTCAGGCTTTACTTACACCCAAGCCCTCGCCATGCGGCCATGACCTCGTCCTCATGGGCCGCAGCTAGATGCACTATCGTCGGCCATTTTCTCATCCATCGCGTCCAGTAGTCTTTGACAACCGCAACCCTGGTCTGTTGAAGCATGATCTCCGAAATCCAAACTTCATACGCCCGTACGGAGAGTGCGTCGCGTGACTCGGCTGTATCGCCGTAAAGCTCGGGGTTGAATGGTTTTCGCCATGGCATCAGTCGCTGATCGCTGACGCTGTCGAACCAAGTCAAGAGGCCAGATCGGCCTCTCTGGCCAGTGTCTCCGACGAGGAGCAGCGGCCGGTGGTAAAGAGTTGAGTGCAGGCGCGTGGTGGAGGGGGATTGGCAAGCGTACGCCTGCGTCTTGTCGCCTTCGACGCCAAAGAGGCGTTCTTGCAAGCTGGAAGTGTACTTGAGCCCCAGAGCTGCTGACTTCGTGCCGGGCCTCGGTCGTTTGTCGACGTGTTGGAGGGGGCGAGACAGAGGCTCTTGTTGGGGTAACGCGTCGCTCAAAGCGCGTCTCTTCGGAATGGCGCGTCCTGGGACAGCAGCCTGGGTCTTGTGCGTCCCACCGTCGCCGGCCACTTCCTGGTCCGACGCCAACTGCGATCGGATGCGCTGAGCAGCAAGTAGTGAACTTTGCCGTCGGTTACCCATCGCTGGTATGTGGTCGCTGTTCTGGATGATGCGTTCGTTGTAGTGGGAGACTAGCCGTATTTTGTGACTAAATTAACAGTTAGTGCACCACATATTCTTTTTCACCTAGTCTAGAGGTTTAAGTTCAAGTCAATTTTGTGCATTGCACATTCAAATCTCACACATAATGATGAGTTGTTTTAATCATATAGAAGCTAACTTGATATAAAGCATTATTGGAACACGGAGGGGGATATCAGTGGAGGTAGACGGGGATCAAGTCAGGGAGACATGTCAGACTCTATGGCTAGAAATATCTCATAGAGGGTGCAACTCACCGCGTCTGCGACACAATATGCACGTATCACAGTTTCTTGATTGATGATTCCAGTATTACCAGAATGGTTTTGTGTGCATGACTGCTGGGACGACGGGGACGTGGACACGAGCCAGAATCAATAAGCCTACGCTGAGGAATCACATCATTCGATACAATGTTCTCTTGACAGCAGCCCGATCGAAAAAGAAATTCACCAGACAACAGCTACTCCAAGTCCGTCTTAAAATATCACCTCCACGCGCCACGCATCTTTTCAATAAATTTGATATAATAGTGTACTTTTGGCTCTGGATTCATTGTTCCGACATCTCCACCTCATGGCGACCTCCCTCAGCGACAACTTCTACCCGGCCGAACATCTGCTCCCGGCGATGCGAGAGGTGCAGAATGAATCCAGTCTGGAGTAAGCGGCACCCCCCTGGGGCTGTCTCTGTGAACATGATACGGGACGTGCCGGTGTCACAGCCTGGCTGGCACGACTCCCTCACTATTGCAGCTGCGGTCCCTAGCATGCCAGCTTTCCCCTTTGCTAACCGGCAAGGAATTTCTCGATCTTAAGTGTCTTCTGTTAAGGCCTGATGTAGTGACCGGCTGCGCGTTGTGAAAGTACGGCCCGTCTAGGGCGATTGGTCCAGGGTAGTGTGGACTTCCATCATAACCGCGTCGTCGTTTCGAGGGTTTTGGTTAGGTTGACATTTCATCCGGCAGTGATCAGTACTACTTCTCAGGGACTCTGTTGAGTAGGGGACAGGCCCTAGCCAGACTTCTACCCGGCTTTGCTGTTGTAAGGCGGGATGAGTACCAGTAAGCGGAGGAGGTGTGCCAAGTGCTCCTAAAGGAAGATTGTTGTTCTTTCCTGGCGCATCGTACGATCACTGAATTCGCGCTCGCTGCGTGACATGAATCTAAGATGGTCCACTCTCGGAGATTGGGGTACGAATACATATGATATGGCATGCACCAAATATTTTCTTTAGCCAGGGTCGGCTGAGCATGGAAGATAGTCGCCCTCTCCCTCCCGGCGGGTAGACCACTATGCTATAATTCCCTGCTTGTGACGCCGAAAGAAGGGTTCGCACATATCAGACCTCCCGCGACCTTCTCTAGCGTACAAGTGTGCAGAGCCTCATAAGAACCCATGGGTGGAGATCAGAACATCATGGACATTTCGCCAACCTATTTACATTCTTGATTATGGCGCCCGTCAGCAGCACTCGTTTTAAAACTCCATAGGGTGAAGAAGCATCATCATGACGTTCAAGCCACCGTTCACTCCTTCTTTTCGACCACTCCAGATTTCCCTAGCTTTACACCTCTGCCAAAGAGACTGCATCATTTTTCCACTGTGCGACGAGCTGGAATCCAAGCAGCCGCCGTAATTACCCAAACCGCCTAGACTTGTTTGATTATATCTCGCTGAGCCCTGCGACCTCGTCAATCGTTGTACTTTATGTACGTAGTCCGTCCATCTTCACATCGTCCAACAGATAGTCAGGACGGAATGAAAGCGCCACTTTTACCTGAGACCGATCGGTACGTCAGTGACCGTACTGACCCTCTGTCGTATTCTCGAGAAGACAGAGCTACGGCCCTGGACCGACCAAAGTGAACAACAAATGACAGTTAAAGATATTTTGCTTTCTGAGCTTCAGTTCCAGGAAGCAAGAAAACATTAAATTACAGCCAAGGTGGTTGGATGTCATCTGTGTCATTGGCAGATGAAGTGCTGTTAGGCTGGAGTGTACCTGGGAGGTGTTGGATGAATGTTGGCTACCAGGTGTGGAAGCTGTAATTAGGTGGGTTGATGAAGGATACGGTTATAAGCGTACCTTGCATGAACAAGCTGGGGCAGGCTGGGTTGTATATATGCGAAGAGGTTGAAGTCTAAATGTTCGTGGGCATGTAAATGGTCAACAAAGCTAATCTGACAAGAGATGTCCTTAGGCTCGACGATGTGGCCAGGATCAAGATGGCCATTTCATTCACTGACCACATACAACAACGAGGCATTTGGGGACACCAAAGCCGGCCCCACAATCAAAGTCCGTCACAGTGTTGATCGTTTTTTCCCTGAATCGACTGTTGGCATGGCGGCGCAACGCCGCGTGGCTTGAAGAGCTTGACATGCAATAGTGACCTTTTTGACAGAGCAAAACGGTTGTGGTTCGGAGGCACGCCCGTCCAAAGCCATCTTCGCAGACAGCAGCAGTGTGAATTCCTATTTAGGATTATTTTGGTACCTCTTAACCCATTATTCACGGGACAGACCACAGCGAAACCATCAACCAGGAAGCAGCTTCTCTCCGAACTACTACCCGAGTACAGCAGAACCAAGGACACACAACGAGAAACAAGCAAGAAGCACAGATCAAACCCTGCCGCATACATCGAGATCATGCCAAGTGCCAAGATTGGTTCATATGAAGTTGTTATCGAGAACAACATACTGGTGGACAAGTGGAGGGACATAGATACTAAAACAATCCCATGTCGTACATGTACACAGTTACATACTTAGTGACTTGGTCCGTACTTCGACCGGGCGAGTTGCTACACATTGCCCCTTTGTATCTGGAACCCCGCTGATTAATGGCAGGACTACACCCAGGGCGGGGGGGGGGGATTTGAGATTGGAAAGCATGGGAAGGATTATAATCCCTCAACAGAGATGGTTTCAGAATGTGAACTCAAACACAAAAAACTTCTACCAAGTCCTACTGTAACCAGTGAGATGGGCTTTCAAGTTGAGTCAATGAGTACCGGCTTTTGTTACTAGTGGAGTGCTAGATCTGGAGAGGAATAAGAGTTCTGAACCCGGGTATGAAATAATATGCTGGACCGCAAAAATTGGCAAAACGCAAAGTGGAAGCAGATATTGCAAAATGCAGTGTTCTTCGAGTGTATTGCTAGAAGTAAAATGTATTTCCGACGTCCGAATTGCGCGTCCGAAATGAACGACAGCATGGGGGAGAATCCTACTACCACTCTGGCGGCCAATCACCTGACGGCCTCACAATGACCGCCCAGGGTCCCTGACGGTTGTCGAGGACGAAACATGCCAGCCATACAACAGGAAAGCTGGTTCAGCTAGTTAGGCGCCTTTCTGGAGACAACAGGCACGGCCAACAAAATTCCACGATTTCCACAAGGCATTAAGCTGCGCCGCAGCGGGCGGTCTGTGGGAATCCTTCCGTGGGAGAATCCTTCTGCGAGACTCACTACCATCGTACATATTGCGAGTTGCCCCTTGTTCGATTCGACTGACCCCCACACCACCTTTACAGAACTCCATAATTCAGCCTCAAATACCCATTTAAGGGCCCACGGGTGCCTTGAAGAACTCATTGTATTGGTTGATAAACTTGTCTTCTTGTAGGAATATTGTGCCCCGGAATATTCTGACCAACCAGACCCCTGATGAGCCGAGGCGCGTCGTGAAGCAGACACACTGTGCACAAGGTGTGAGAATCACCGCACCCCAGGGCGCGGACCTCCTTTTTATCACGGCGGCTGCCGCTTAATTTTCAAACCTGACCTAGTGTCTTTCCTCCCTATCCCGGACCTTTCATCCGCGAGGCAGGTAAACACAAGATGAAGCGACTGCTTCTGCTATGCGGCGCTCTGCGTGCCTCTGCCACCAAGGGGAAGGATGAGCCTCCTCTGGTTGCCAGACAGGTTGATGGTGCCATCTCGGAGGGAACCTATTTCAGAAGGGGTTACCACTCATGTGAGTCCAAGTTTGGGGTGCCGACCAGCTCTATAGAGCATATTGTGCTAATCGGTGTTCGACATAGCCGCCGTCCTGAATGGAAGGGTTTACATTGACGGCGGCGAGGTCTCCTTCTCGAACAGCTCCGAGACCGGAGGCGTCGAGTATCAGTATTCTGATTCGCTCCTCTACATTGATATCACAACGGACTTTTCACCCAGCTCAGTGACGGTGGCGTCCGTAGCCAAACCCTCGGGGGTTTCCAACCTAATCCAAGGGGGTTTGTGGGTTGATCAAGACGCCGATGCGGTGTACACCGGCTTTGCGGGTTCCGCCTCAGCCTTTGGGGATGGAGCAGAGCAACCGCAAGGGCTGTGGTCCTTCCAACCCGGCTCCGATGGCACGAATGGAACTTGGACCAACTTGAACGACACCACCGATTCCTTTTTCGCGTCAGAAAAGCGGCCGTTCGGAGCCGCCGTTGCGAGTGGGAACGGCACCGCCTTCCTCCTCGGGGGCTTAGATGTTTTTGGATCGTATCACGTTCCCATCAGCGGGCTTCTCTCGTATGACTTCGATACACAGACCGTGACCAACACTAGTGTGTCCGCCTCCACCGATGGCTTCCTGCAGATGGGGTCGATCCAGTACGTCCCCAACTTTGGGTCCGCAGGGATACTGGTTGCCGCCGGGGGCAACCACGCGTACGTGACCAGCTCAGGAGAGTGGGCCAGCAACTGGCAGGCCTTCGACACAGTACAGGTGCTGGATATTGCGTCGGGCGAGTGGTATGACCAGGTGACGACCGGCAGTGTCCCTCCATTCCGGATGCAGTACTGCATGGCCGGGGCGGCATCGTCGAACCGCACCTACGAGATCCTGGTCTATGCGGGCTGGAACAACACGCTGGGTGAGCGAGCCGTTTCGTACGATGCTGCGTATGTGCTGTCGCTGCCATCTTTCAACTGGTTCAAGGCCGACTACGAGGCAGCGAACCCACGGCACGCCCTGACGTGCGAGCACATCGGTGGTGGGCAGGTGCTGACCATCGGTGGGCTGGACACGTCCCAGAACGACGCGGCTAACCAGTACCGAGGCGTCTTCCACACCAAGGACGACTTCCCTCAGGGCCTGGGTGTCTTCGACCTCAGCAGCTTGTCGTTCGCAACCAGCTTTGAGGCCAATAGGACGACGTACGAATATGCAACCGCACTGCGCACCTATTATCAGACCCGCGACCGCGTGTCAAGCTCCATGGGCGACGCGCTGCAGGCCGTCTTCTCGGTCGAGAACTTCACGAGCTCCGCCACCGCGGTCTCGGGCTCCTCGTCAGGCTCTGCCGGCACTTCGGGCGGCTCAACATCGTCATCCTCTGGAGGAGACTCCGGCTCTGGAACGACATCCAGCTCAAACACTGGTACGAGTCGCACGGGAGCCATCGCGGGCGGCGTGATTGGGGGTATTGCCGGCGTCGCCCTCGTCGGTGCAGCGGTGTTCTACTTCTTGCGCCGCCGCCGAGAGGGTCAGGACTATCAAGGGAAAGGGGTTGTCAGTGTCAATGATGGGAAGACATACCAGCTCTCGGACGGGTCGGAGCCATTCGTGCAGCGCTACCAGGTGGCCGGCGACCCTGAGGCTGCTGAAGTACCGGGCAGCAAGCCACCGGGGTATAATCTAGGCGGGCGAGCAGAGTTAGCTTAAGCCTGACCCTATATGTGCTCTTAAATATTTAATAAATTGTATAAAATATTTTCGAATTTTATAACATTTATAAATATTTTATATTAAATCAGAATAATAATATTTCATAACTCAAATCTAATTATAATTATTCTAAGCATTATTGTATCATATCAGTGTTAAGTGTTTGATAATAATTAAACTGTTTAAATTGTAATTAGTCCAATTTGATAGGAAATTTTTCGGCATCATAGCAGAGCTTCAAAGACTATTGACCAGAATCTGACGGGGGACACTGAGCAGTCTTTCCAAAGAAGATCCCGCCGAGATGGACATTTAACGAGCTCTCATCGTTGGAGTTCTTGTCGACTCTGTTCATGGAATTCGCGCAGTCATCAATCTTGTTCACATCAATCCTAATCGTGTTAATGTCACCCCAGACATTCTTGCTAAATGTGCCCCGACTAACACCTTCATCCCATGAGCGAGGCAGTTATTTGCGAGGGCGTATGCCGGACGCACCTCTGGTGATGACGGCCATCCTGGACTCCTCTGACGAGGCCGGCTCGAGGCTGTCTCGAGTTGTGTTAACTGTATTAAGTTTGACTGTTAAGACCAAGTTTGTGAAGGGAGATGTTGACGTCGAGGATCACGAATCTCGACAATCTGATGCTTGCATTCTTCATCATAACAACGGAACGATTAACTGCCTAGAAGAAAAAAATCAAAAAAATCAAAAAAAATCATATCCAACCCATTGCAAGCCTCGTTTCGGTATGCAGATTCATTGGGAATTACCCATGCGGCTTTCGCTGGTGAGTTGAGTGGGCATATAGACCTTTTGCTTCGAATATCCTAGGTCTGAAAAATACATTTACAGCCCCTCTCTAACAGTGCATCATCGCGAATTGGTTCAAGGACGAGAGGGACAACGACGGAGTGACTCGCTAGCTTTGAGGCATCTGGGATCGTATCGTAGCGGCATCTGGAGATGCGCACTGCGGTGTGACGGCGTGGCTGAAGTTTGCATAGCACAGAAGCCTTTGAAATTGATGTCTTTCAGGTGTGATGTCAGCCTGCATTGCCTATCAAATCATCTTGTTTGTCAAACACAACCCAGTCATCTATGGACTACATATTGTAGACGTCGCTCCATTACTGAACGTCAGTTATAGCAATTTCTTGACCACTCGATGACCTTTGTGCGCACCTTGAAAACCAAACTACGAGCACTCGAGGCGCAGGTTTCAACCACAGCAAAGCATCAATGCAATTACTAGCATAAGAGCCTTTCAATATGGCACGTGGACGTTCTTTTCACTACAATTCGCGGTCTAGGTCCCATTCAGGGCAATGTTCACGCAGCCACAGCGAGTCTGAACGCGCACGTCAGGCAGTTGCAGCTGCGGATCTCGAACTTCGAAATGATCACCAAGAGAGTCACCCTACGTATGACACGCAACTTCTGTTCTCACAATTCACCACTTTCCCTGTCTTTGAGGCCTTGAAATACCATGTGGACGAGGAGACAGTGATCGACAGTCACCGTATTCAAGTGCAAGGGGATCACCTTTTTTCTCACATGCAATTTGACCGATCCGAAAACGCCAATGCGTCTTTGAAGATTCTTCATGTTGTTGCCAACTCAGACTTCCAAGACATCACCAAATCTCTAGCAGATTCCTTAAACATGAACGTTGCGCTTCTGGATCGCACTTTGGCTGAGAAGGTGGCTCGAGAGCCTTGTGCTGTACGCGCAGGAAATATCGACGGCTACAGCACCGGTTGCCTCGATCTGAAGATCCTGAAGGCAGTTTGGTCACATCACCAGCCTTCTCATTCAACAAGAGCGATACTATTATACCAAGATGACCAGGTACTGCCACGGCTTGAGGAGTGGGATGTTCAAGGCCTCGAACAGCCACTGTTCTTCGAGTCTTTCATGGCTGCCACGGCTGCGAAAAGTGTGCAACGATTGCTTGATAACATTTCAGAGAAATCTGAGATACCAGGAGAGGACTTCTGGACCCGGATAGTGCATGGAGCACTTGGAGACTACAACTTGGAGGAGAGACTTCCACCTCCGGGACCCAGGGTTTTCCCTAGGGTAGCTCCTGGCCGCAGCACGATCCCCCGAATGTGGAATCGAAGACCTATTCAAGAGCGGGAGATAGCTCTGAAGTCCAAAATTGACCGTGTCAACACGCTCGGCCCTCTTTTCGCAGAGTTCGAAGGTCTGCGAGTGGTACTGAGAAGGCTTGAGATGGTCGTACGCGAGCTCCAGACGAAATCGACAACGGCGACGACCGAACAGTCTCCGAGCTCAAACACAATACGCACTATGACTGGGACACTTCTTGGGGATTTGAGAGAGATCTTCGCCCAACTTGACTGGCTCGAGCGCTTGACTCGAGACGAAATCTCAAGGGTGAGAAGAGAAGATCCATTCAGACTCGTGGAATGCAAATGCTGACTAAATACCAAATGACTATCAGTGTGATTCATGGGTGCAGCATGCTAATGCACTCACGAACATCGCCCTTGCAGAGGCAGCAAAGGAAGACTCCTCTTCTATGAAAGTCATTGCTATTATGACAATGGTACGTCTTTAGCGCCAGACCCCTACCCGTTTTGCTTCACTATGTTGCTTTTTCGCCTGACGCACAAGGACAAAACCTAATATAGGCCTCCTTGCTTGTAATTCGTGCTACATTCTCTATGCCCGCCTAGCAAACCACTGATTCAAAAACCTCGGATAGACCTTCCTTCCGGCTACTTTTTTCGCTGCGCTTTTTGCTGTCCCGAGTCTTCATTGGAATGCAGATGCCGTCATAGGCTCCAACTTCTGGGTGTATTGGGCATTGTCGATTCCCAGCACAGTCGTGGTTCTCGCCGTCTGGGCTTTGCTCACTATGACACAGCTTTTGACGCGCCTTAAATGGTTCTTTTTGGACCTCATCGAGACGGTCAAGTATTGGTACCGGCGTTCTCTTCTACGGAAGCCTAAGTCTTCCAACTCGCGGCCAACACGAAGCACAACTAGGCGCTCGGACCGGAGATCTACCTCTTCGTCCCAAGGAGAGGTGTATGGTCCGTCGTCACCGACTCCGGTCTAAGAGCGGCCATGCTGGGCCCATATCATGCGGCGGAATGGTCAGATCAAGCGGGCAGAAGCTACTAGGCGCACATAAGTGCAGATCATTTCCAGAACGTGTATGAGTACATATCAATATCTGTAAAAAAAACCTACAACTTATCACACAACCTCGTTCCTCTGCTTTAAACAGCAAAATAAATTAAAAATATCTATTTAGCACTTTAAAATACAAACTTAAATAAAACTTAATATTTAATATAATATTTAAAAAATATAAATTAATTAAATATTATATTAAATAATAGTTATATATTATAATTAATAATTTTATAACTTTTTAATTTTTAATTTTATTTATTTTTAATTAAACTTAAAGTACTTAAAAGGTATATAAATACTTTTTATAATAATTATTTTATATTATAAATTTACTAAAATTAACTTATATAAATAATAAATTAAAATTATAAAAATAGTTTTTTAAAAAATAATATATATAAAAATATAAATATATTTTATAAAGCTTATTAAAAAAATAATTATTTAATATTAATAAATAACTTTATTTTAATAATTTTTTTTAATAGTTTTTAATTATATTAATATATTAATTTATAAATATTTTATTTTATTATAAAAAGTAGTAATAACTTTTTTAATATTAATATAATTATTTTTAATTATTTATTTAGCTTTTTAGTTTTTATTTTTTAATTATTAAATAATATTAGCTTTAAAGCTATAAAAGCTTTGAAAATAGTAAATAGTATTATAATTAAATAATAAAAAATAAATTAATTTTTTTAAGCTTATTTTAAAAAAATTACTTTTATATTATAAAAAATATAAAGTAAATATAATATAAAAACTATTTTAATTATTAATTATTAATAAAAATAAATATATATATATTTTTAAATTAGTTTATTAGTTTATAAAATAATTTAAATTATTTTTAATAAATACTTTTATTAATTTTAAATATTTTATAAATATTTTAAAATTATTTATTTAAAACTATTTTTTAATATTTAATTTATATTTATTTTTATAGCTATTATAATATAAATAGCTATTTTTTAAATATTATATATTATAAAGAAATTTATAATTTAATATTTAGTTTTAAATTATAAAATTATTTATTTATTATAAATAAATAAAATAATATTAATAATAATAAAAATTATAATTTTTTTATTATTAATATTAAATAATTTATATAAATATATTTATAAATTCTATTATTTAAAATATTTATATTTATTTAAAAATAATTTATATTATATTATTTTTAAATAAGCTTATAATATAATTTTTAAATTTATTTTTATTATTATAAAATAAAGCTTTTATTTTAGTTTTAAATTTAACTTAAATAATAAAACTAATATTTTTTTTTAAAATAATATATTAGTTTTATTATAAAAGTAAGTTAAAAAATATTACTTTTTATTTATTTTTATTTTAAAATTAATATTTATAAAAACTTTAATTTTATTAAATTAATTTTTAATTATTAAAAAAGCTAATTATTTAAATAATTTATTTTATATTTTATTAAAAATAAATAAAAATTTTATATTTTTATTTTAATATATTTATTAAAATTTTAAATTAATATTTATTAACTTTTCTAATAATTTATAAAATAATATATATATAATTATTATTTATAATAGCTTTAAATATAAATAATTTTTAATTATATTATATTTTTTAAAAATAAATAAAAAAAATAAATATATTAATTAATATAAATAAATAAAGATTTTATTTTATATTATTTAATATATATTTAAATAAATAAAGCTTTATTTTAAATACTTTTTAATAAATAGTTAATATATTTAATAATTAGTTTTTATAAAATATTAATTAAATTTTTTTTTTATAAACTATTTTATATTTACTTTTTAATATATATTTTTATTTTTAAAAAATAAAAGTTAATAATTAATTAATTTTATTAATTAATAAATTAAATATTTAAATTTTTATTTTAAATTTTTTACTATATTTATAAAATTTAAATATTTTAAATAATATAATATAATTTTATAATTTTTTTATTAAATTAATATTAATTAATTTATAAATAATAATAATTTTTTTTATATTTTTTATTTTAAAAAGTTTTATTTAAAATAAAAATTAATAAATAATAATAAAATTAATTAAATTATAAAGTTTTAATAAGTTTTTAAATATTAAAAAACTTTTTATTTTTAAATAATTTAATTTATTATTAACTTTTATTTAAATTATAAATTTTAAATATTTTATAATATTTTTATAAAATAAAAATAAATATTTTTTAAATTTAATAATTATATTAAAAATTTTATAATTTATATAAAAGTAAAAATTATTTTTTAAATTTATTTTATTTTATAATAAATATATTATATAGTTTTTTTAAAAAATATTTTATAATAAATATATTATATAGTTTTTTTAAAAATAATTTAATAATTTTTTTTATAAAACTTTTATAAAAAAGTTATTAATAATTTATTAAACTTTATTTTAAAATTATTTTATTATTTTTATTTATTATATTATAATATAGCTTTTTAAATTTAAATTTAAATTTTTATAAATTTAATATAAAAAATTAATTTAAAATTTTTTTATTAATATATTTTAAATAAATATATTATTATATTAATTAATTATATTTATTATTATTATAATATATTTTTATAATTATAATTAATATATATATAAATAATTATTTTTTTAAAAAAGTAAAATATAAAATTTATATAATATTTAATATTATATTAAAAAGTTATAAAGAATTTTATTTTAAATTAAGTTAAAGTTTTTTTTTAAATAAATATTAATAAAAAAAAAGTATAATATTATATAATTTATTAATAAAATATTTTAAAAGCTTATTTTTTATAATACTATATAGTATAATATTAAATAAATTCTTTTTAATAATAAAGATTATTTTAATTAATATAAAAGTAATTAAATATTTATACTTTTTATAAATAAATAACTTTACTTTATAATTTAATAAGTAGATTTAATAAAAAAGCTATTTAACTAATAAATATAATATTTGTTATAACTTTAAAAATTAAATAAAACTTAAAACACTTATTTTTAATAAATTTAAAAATAGAAAAATAATTAACTAATTAATTATAAATAGCTTTAAACTTTTAATACTTAAAATAATATATAATATAACTGCTATTATATAACTTAAGTTACTAATTTAATATAATATATAAATTAAAGCTTTTTAAAATAGAAAATAGTTATAATATTAAGCTTATTAATAAGTAATTAATTAAATATTACTATAATAAATATAGTAGTATTTAAAAGTTTTTAAAAAGTATTTTTAAAGTAATATAATTATTATAAAACTTATTATAATATTATTTAATAATTTAATTTTATTTAAATAGTAAGTTTTTAATATTAATAATATAAAAGTATAATATAAAAAGGAGATATAAAAGATTTATAATTTATAAATATATTAAATAATACTAATAGCTAAAAATATATTTTTATAAAAAAAACTTTTTAATATAAAGAATATAATAATATTATAATTATTATTAATTAAAAACTATTATAAATTAATAAACTTTAATTATTAATATAAAAAAGTATAAATTATAACTTTAAGTTTAATTTTATAAATAAAATAATTTAATTTTATATTATATATTAAATAAAAATAAATATTATTTAATATTATTTTAATTTAAGTTAAATAAATATATTATTATAATTTATATTTAAAATATAAATTTTAATATAAGTTTTTATTATATATTTTAAATATATTATTATAAAAGTAAATATTATAATAGCTTTAAGTTTTATAAAATATTTTTATTTAATTTATTAATAATTTTCTTTAAAAATAATATTTTAAAAATTAAAAAACTTTTTAAAGTTTTTTTTAAATTATAAGCTTTTTATATATTAATTTTTTATATATAATAATAATAAATAAATATTAATTTTTAATTATATTTATTAAATATATTAAAAAGATTTAATATTTTTATAAATTTACTTTATATAGCTTATTTTTTTAACTTTTCTTTATTATATAATAAAGCTTTTTAAAATATTTTTCCTTTTTAGTATATATATAAAACTTTACTTTATATAAAATAATTTAAATTTATAATAAACTTTATAAATAAAATATAAAATTTTAAAATATATATTAATTATTATTAAAATAATTAGAGTTTTATATTACTAGCTATTAATATAATATAAGATTTACTTTTATATAAAGTATTTAATAAGCTAAACTTTATTAATAAAATACTTTATTAAAATTTATTATTAAAATATATAAAAAGTATAAAAAGTAAAAAGTATTATATATTTTATTTTAAATTTATAACTAAATTAAATTTATTTTAAAATAAAAAAAAAGAATTTAAATTTAAAAAGATTTTTAATATTAAATTTTAAAGATATATTTATTAAATTAAAATAATTTTATAATACAAACTTTAAAAAAAAAGTAATTAAAGTAATAAATTATATATAAATATATAGTAATAGAAAATAAAAAAGAAAAAAAAACTTTAGTAAAGCTTTTAAGGCTATAGCTATAAAGTAAGCAAGCTTTATTAATAAAAGGTTTTTATAAAAACTTACTTAAAGGCTTATAGAAATTAACTACTTTAACTATAGCTATTAGCCTTAACTATATTTAAAAATAAAATAGCTATATAAAAGAGTAAAAATAAAAGTAAATAACTAATAATATATAATTATATATTAAAGTAAGAAAGCTTTTAATATAGCTATATAGCTAAAAAATATTTATTAATTATTTAAAAAGAAATTTAAAAATAAAGGTTTTATATTTAATTTTTAGTTTAATTAATTTAATATAATTACTTTCTTTTAAGTTTCTTTAAAAAAGGGAGAGAGCGATAAAAAGATATATATAAAAGTAAAATGCAGTTAATAAGTAATTGCTTAAATATTTTCCATACAGCTTTTTAAGTCTTTATT